TCCTGAACTCCCTGGAGAAAACAGAGGATGGCAAGCTGAAAGTCACCTTGAAATACCCCCACTATTTCCCTCTCCTGAAGAAGTGCTACGTGCCTGAGACAAGGAGGAAGGTGGAGGAAATGTTCAACTCCAGGTGCAAGGAGGTAGGTGAGCCTTGCTGCTTGCCAGCAGGGCCAGACACTGAAGGGGTCTTGTCTGACATTTGTGCTTCTTTCAACACTGGGGCTTGTGCTTCACTTTACTCTCTCTGACTCTGCCATGCAGGAGAACTGCTTGATCCTCAAGGAGCTGGTGGATTTGCGGGCTCAGAAAGCCAGTCTGCTGGGCTTCAACACGCACGCAGACTTCGTGCTGGAGATGAACATGGCTAAAAGCAGCAAGATTGTGGCTTCGTTCCTGGGTATGGCACTGGGCTGTGGAGCCAAGAGCTGGGGCATGTGTTGAGCCAGGTCTGCTGCTCTCAGCCCTGGGCACTGACCCTGCCTGCCTTGGTTTTCCTAGATGAGCTGGCTCAGAAGCTGAAACCCCTTGGGGAGAAGGAGCGAGCTGTGATCCTGGACCTGAAAAAGAAAGAGTGCGAGAAGCGCGGCCTGGAGTTTGACAACCGCATCAATGCCTGGGACATGCGCTATTACATGAACCAGGTGGAGGAGACCAAGTACAGTGTGGACCAGAATCTGCTGAAGGAGTACTTCCCCATGCAGGTGGTCACCACAGGCCTGCTGGCCATCTACCAGGAGCTGCTGGGCCTCACCTTCCATCTGGAAGAGAAAGCTCAGGTCTGGCATGAAGACGTCCAGCTCTACACGGTGAAAGATGCCTCCTCTGGGGAGATCATTGGCAAATTCTACCTGGACCTGTACCCAAGGTGAGGCCTTGGGCAAGGTGAAGCAAGAGAGGAGGGATAGGGCATGGGGAAGAGGCAGTCCCACTGCCAGATATGGGGTTGTGCGGTGGGAGCCATGTCTGCTCAGGCAGGGCAGAGCATGGGGTTTTGCTCTGAGCAGGGTGGTGGTGGTTCATGGATGGCCTTGGGGGTGATCTGTGTAACAGTCCCCTCTTCCTGCCCTAGGGAAGGCAAATACGGGCACGCAGCCTGCTTCGGCCTGCAGCCAGGCTGCCTTCTGCCAGACTCCAGCCGGCAGATCTCAGTGGCTGCCATGGTGGCTAATTTCACCAAGCCCACACCGGATGCACCCTCCCTGCTGCAGCACGATGAAGTGGAGACATACTTCCATGAATTCGGGCATGTCATGCACCAGCTGTGCTCTCAGGTGAGGCCTGGCTGGGCTGGCAGAGGGGCCGGTTTGTTACCTTTCCCCCTTGTCATGCTCTCCTGTGGGGGTTAAATGACATCCCATTCAGCTTGCTGCATCTCCTAGGCGGAGTTTGCCATGTTCAGTGGGACACATGTGGAGCGGGACTTTGTTGAGGCACCATCACAGATGCTGGAGAACTGGGTGTGGGAGAAGGAGCCACTGCTGCGCATGTCCAGGCACTACAAAACTGGAAGCCCCATCCCGGACGAGCTGCTGGAGAAGCTCATTAAATCCCGGCAGGCAAACACAGGTTGGTCCCTGCGGAGGGGCTGGAGGGAGCAAGGGCCCTGTGCTGTCCCCAGCAAGGGGACAAGGGGCCTTGCTGTGGTGTTCCCTTGAGTGTGGGGAGGAGGAGACCCTTAGTGAGCTGGCCAGGTAGAGGAAAGGCTTTGCTTTGCTCTCCATGGTGCCCTGGGGACCTAGGGGATGGGTGCTGCTGAACAAGGATGGGGGAGAGGGATCCGAAGTTGGGTGTGAGCAGAACTATGGGAGGCCCCCAGCCTGCAGGGCTGAGAGCCAGCCTTGGAGATGCTCCTGCCTGCAGGAAGCAGCTCATTTTGCCTCCTCCTTCTGGAAACAGGGCTCTTCAACTTGCGTCAGATCGTGCTGGCCAAGGTGGACCAGGCACTGCACACCCAGACGAAGGCTGACCCCGTGGAGGTGTTTGCTGGGCTATGTGAAGAGGTGCTGGGCGTCCCTGCTACACCAGGTACACAAGGGCTTGGGGTCCTGTAATCCATGCCCACCTGCAAGCTTGGCTCATAAGGTTTTCAAGGCTTGGGCTTCAGGCTGGCTCAGTAGAGACAGCTTCTGCTGGCTCCAGGAAAAGCAGGGCTGAAACGATAACCAAAATAGCTGGAAAGTTCTCCCCTGTTTCCCTTGGGATTGTCAGCAACCTGACCCAGTGTCTGCTCTGACATATTTACACTATGGAAGGGGTTTTCCATGCTGTGAGCAACTCCAGTAGCCTTTCCTGTTAACTCCCCTTCCCATCCTTTGCACAAAGGTACAAACATGCCTGCTACGTTTGGCCACCTGGCTGGAGGCTACGATGCCCAGTACTACGGCTACCTCTGGAGTGAAGTGTACTCCATGGATATGTTCCACACACGCTTCAAGCAGGAGGGGATCATGAACTGTAAGGTAGGAGGATGTCCCACACAGGCTCCCAGTGTGTGGCAGGGGAGTGGAGGGAGGTGGCAGCATCAGCGGGTGTCTTAACACGTCCCCCTGTCTCTCTCTGCTTGCAGGTGGGCATGGATTACAGGAATTGCATCCTGCATCCTGGCGGTTCCCTGGATGCTTCTGACATGCTGAAGAAGTTCCTGGGCCGTGAGCCTAAGCAGGATGCCTTCCTGGCCAGCAAAGGACTGAAGGTAGAGAGCAACTCGCTGCCTTCAGCCTGCTGAGAAGCTGCTCCAGCCTGTTTTGAGTCAAGCCAGCTCCTTTTGTCTACACTCCAGTCCTCTCAGGCCAAGCAATACCCCCTACTTCTGTCACCAAATGCACCCTGGGGCAGCCCCTACCTGGAGCTGTTCCTCCAGGATCCTGCTCCAAGCTCACCCTGGCCTTCAGGAGCCAGGTTCAGCCCTGCAGAGCTGTCACAGGGCTCTGCAGTGACAGCTCTGCCAAGGGAGCTGAGCTGCCTTTGTCACACACACCTCTGCACAAAGGGGTTGGGGCTGTCATTAGCCACACGAATTGGCAGAACTTCAAGCCTGATTTCTGCACCAGGGTGAGTTTTGGCCTCGTTTGTAGCCAGGGAGGAGGGTGAGAGCGGTTACCAAGCTTCAGTCATTGTTCTAAATCCCTTCTTTTTAAGGAATGAGACTTCCCACCAGGCTTGGCTTGTTTTGTGCCGTGGGGCAGACTTAACTGTTCCAAGCACCAAACAAGTGGCCTGAGGAGCTGGTTGGGAGCCACGTTCTCCCTCTCTTAGGCCAGCTGTGGAATAAAGATGGGCAGATCCCAGATCCCATTGCAATTACTGGAATGTCCTGCCCTGAATCCCTCAGCCACCCCTGCCTGGGCAGCAGGCCTGGGAGGGGGGCAGAGGTGGCCAGTGCAGCTATTCCCAGAGCAATGGTGGGTCTGGGGAGCGTGGCCTGGGCCTTGAATGCTGTCAGGCTTCCCTTGGGCTATATTGGAGGTGCTGGGACCTTGTGCCAGGGGCCAGCTTCAGGGTGTGTTGCTGTTGCTGTCCTATGAGCCAGGGTGGGACAGGGCAGGGCTGTGTTTAAAGCAGGAGAAGCTGACAGCTTCAAACAACACAGATGCCAGGATAAAAATACCGGGTGGCTTTGTGCCAGGCGCCGAGCTGGGGGCCAGCAGGAGCCCTTTGCCCGGCCTTGGGAGCAGCCACGCTCTGCTTCCCCCAGCTCTTCCCCTGTCCCCAGGCACCCTGCAACTGGTGCCCATGCAGCGTGGGGTTGCACAGCATCATGTCCCCCCCTTTGCCACGCTGTACTCCTAGCCCAAGCAGGCAGGAGGGCAGCTCTGCTCTGACTGTGGGATGGGGGAGCACTGCCCCCAAGGTCAAAACCTGGTTTCTGGGTTTGCTCCTGTAGGAATCACACATGGACTGGGGAAGGGTTTCAGCAGGGAGTGTGTGGGGTAGGTGGAAGGCAGCAGGGGGGAGCTGTGAGCTCCTACTGGCATGAGGGATGTGTGGTGATGGTCCTGGAGGGCAGATCTCAGTCTCTGGCATCCTGCCCTACCTCCAGCCTCGGGTGATGCTGTAAGAGGGCTGTGGGATTGGTGCAGCACATGGAGGGTGCTGATGGGTGCATCCATCATCCCAGCCAGGGCTGCACATGGGTACCCCCCACCCAGGGTCTTGTGCTGCATCTTCCTCCCCAACCAGGCTGTTCCTTCGCTTCTCCTCCAGTCTGGGCTGCCACTGAGCAGCTCTGCCTCGTTCCCTGCAGTGACTGACACCATAGGAAGAAACTCACCCCAAGTGCAGACAAAGTTGTTGCTGTCACCTCCCCTCCGTGCCCCACACCCCCTGGTGACACCCTCCCTCACCGGTCCCCTCTTGCGCTGATGTGGACAGGTCTGTAAGCAGCAAAGTGGCTCCTTGGTGCTTGCTGGGGCCATGCTGAGCATCTTGTCTTTGTCCCCACCCTCTGTTCTAGGCATAGGTGAGTGTCACAGGGGCCAGGGCTGCTCGAGTTAATGCTGTGGGTGTTTCAGTGTCACGTTTTACCAAGCTTTCAGTGTTTTCTTTCAGACCTCTTGAGGGAGAGAACTGAAGCTGGGCAGGGAAGCCACACACTTTCCTTCCTGGGCCACAGATAACTCAGCTCCTCCTTCCAGTAAGCCTCGCTGTTGGTGCGGTTAGAGGTGGTGCAGGAGCTCGCAGCCAGGCAGAGCAAGGGGATGTGATGCTGCCCCAAGCATTCCCTCTGCATGGGTGATCCCCAGGCACCAGGCTTCTTGGAGCTGCTCCTTCTCCCTCCCCAACTCTTTGTCCCTACCCCATCCCAGGGAAGAGAGGTCTCGTTCAGGTTTGGTTCTTTCATTTATTTCTTCTTGTTAACCTGTTCTAAGGGCAGACTGGTGTGTGTGTATGTGTGCACCATCCGTAATGGTCACGTCCCGCCCTGCTTGTGTCAATGACTGGATTTTAGACAGTTCCTAGCACTAATAAAGGTTTTCCTAAGCGGATGCTTGCATGGCTCAGGTCCTGCTCCTTCCTGGTGGGGAGGCAGCGGTGATCCCAGTGCTCCCAGTCGCTCCTGATGCTCCCGGCACAACCTCCGCCGCAGTCTGTGTGGCAGGGCCTGTGCCAGGAAGATGGGCACCGAGTGGCAGGCGCGCGGGGGCAGCCTCTGTGGTGTGAAGCCCTGGGGAGCGAGAGGCAGTGACCCCCTGGCCCATCCCCACCGTGGCCATGCCCTGCACCGGCCCCTCACCTGGGTGAAGAAGCCGTGGTCCAGCACATCCTGCAAGCTGGGCCGTGCTGCGGGCTCGGGGGCCAGCAGGCGGGCGATGAGGGCCTGGGCATGGGCTGAGAGCTGGCTCGGCTGCGGGTACCGGGCAGCACGGATGTGCCGGTAGAGCTCCTGCCGCTGAGCAGCCTCAAATGGGGGGGTGCCTGTCAGCGCCATGTACCTGGGGGGGGGGTCAGGATGCTTAATGTGTCCAGGAGCACCCAGCACCCATCCTTCAGGTCCCTGCTCACATGGCACAGCCCAGCGCCCACACATCCGAGGGCACCCCGTGTCCCTTGCGGTCCAACACCTCCGGGGCCAGGAAGCTGGGTGTCCCACAGAGCGCCCTGGGGAGCAAGCAAGGTAAACCCCAGCCTGGCAGTGACCCCCCCACCCTGCCCAGCAGCACCATGGCCCCACTCACCCCCAGCGCTGCCCACCCGGAGCCTTCATCCGCGCCAGCCCCAGGTCCCCGATCTTCACCTGCATCCTCTTGGTCACCAAGAAGTTGCCTGCAGAGGGAGGTGAGCCCTGGGTACCGCAGGTGTGGGTCCCCCTCCTGCCCTCCCAGCGCTGCCCCACGCACTCAGCTTGAGGTCCCGGTGGATGATGCCCTGTCCGTGGAGGTAGCGCAGCCCTGAGATGACCTGCAGCAGGTAGTATCTCACCTCCGGCTCCGTCAGCCTCCCCCGGGCCCACAGGATGTCAGCGAGGGACTGGGGACAGACCAAGGTGCCAGTGTGGGGCCTGGTAAAGCCCTGGCATGGGGATGCTCTGTTTTGGGGTGCTGGTGCTTGCTCACCCTCCGGCTGCAGTACTCCAGCAGCAGGTAGATGTGGTACTGGTCAGCGAAGTGCCCATGGAGGCAGACAATGTGCCGGTGGTGCAGGCGGCCGTGCAGCTCCTGCTCCCGCTCCACCTGCATTGGCAGGAACCCAGCAGCCCCCCCGGGGAGCCTCTGGATCCCAGATCCCCCGCATGCATCCTTGGGAAATGGGGATGGGGACCCCCCCAGCAACTGAGACCAAGGGAGAAGGGGCAAGGGCAGGGCTGTGGGGCTCTGCAGGGTCCCTCTGGGCACTGCCCTCCCTCCTTTGGGGCATTCTGTCCCCCCTCCTTGCACTCACCCTCTCTCTGATGCCCACTGCAGTGAGATGGGCTCTCGGGATGACCTTCGCTGCATAGACCCTGCCGCTGGCCACCTCCGTCAGCTGGTAGCAGCGCCCAAAAGCACCCTGCAAGGACAGGAGGGAGCAGCTCAGCACCCCGGGGTGAGCCAAGGCAGAAGCAATGCGGACCCCAGGCACTTGATTGGCAATGGCTTGATCCCAGCATCTCTCTGCTGCCTCAGGTCCCCCTTCCTCAGAGGGGAAGTGGTGGGTCCCCCTTGGAGCAGGACATCCTGGGGATGGATGACCCTGACCACAGGGGTTCCGGACAGGGTAAGGGGCTGTCTGGGGGTGCAGGATTGATAAGGGGTTCACCTCTCCCAGGAGCCGTCCCCGCTTGTAGAGCATCCCAGTGCCAGCATCCTCAATGCACCATCCAGGGAGCTCATTCCCTTCGCACCCCGAAGCCATCACCCAGCTCACTTTGCTCTGCCCTGCAGTAAGGAAACCCCAAGGGACTTCCGCACCCCAGCACCGTAACCCCTTCAGCTCTGGGCTGTGGGTGCCTGCGGCTGCCCCTGCAGCCCAAAGGGTGCTGGGTGAGGGTGGGGGGACACCCAGCACCCCGAGCTCTGCCAGCCCTCCCCGCACAGCCCAGCAGATCCTGCTGCATCAACCGAGCGCTAAGCAGGGACCCCCGGTGGGTTCCAGACCCCTCCCGGGGATGCTCAGAATCAGGGGGTACTCGGAGGGTCCCAGATCAGGATGAGGCCGGGGGGAAGCTCCCATCTGCCCCTTCCCCTCTGCAGCTGACGGTGGTGGCGTCCCTTGGGGGGCGCAGATGGCACAGAGGAGCATCCGCACCCCCCGAGACCCCACCAGCCCCCCTCGACCGCCGCAGCTCCGGGCCCCGAAGGGTTAACGGGCGGCCGGGGAGGGCTCGGCGCACCTTTTGGGGCTGGATATTAATAACGCAGCAGGGAGGGACGGGAGGCGAACGGGGCGGGGGGGGAAGCCTCGCCCGCCACCACCACCCCCCCTCTTTCCCCGGAGCTGCGCAGGCGATGCCCGATCCTCCCGGGTCCCCCCTCGCTGCCTCCGGAACGGGACCGAGCGCCGCGACGCCCCGGACGAGGGGCGCAATGGCCGGGCGGGGACGCCGCGGTACCGGGTAAGGTCCCGATTCTTGCTTAACCCCTCTTGGACCACCAAGGGACCCCCCCCTGCCCTGGGTCAACTCCGCTCCGATGGGGAAACTGAGGCACTCGGAGCCTCCCAACCACTGCCGGGGTCTGGACATCACCCGGACATCGCCTCGGGGCTGCGGCACCGCGAATCCCCGACCCCTGCTCTGCGTGGGGGGGACCGAGGGTGCGGGATTCCCGGGGGAGGGAGGAAACGGGCGCAGCCGGCACCCCCCGCACCGCAAGGGGCTTTGGGGCTCAGTGGGGGGGACCCCAGCGCTGCCCTCCCCCAGTGCTCTCCCCATGGTGGGGCCGGATCCGGAGCAGGGAGCGGGGAGCCCCGGCCCCGCCGCGCAGGTCTGGTCCTGTCCCGGCTCCGCCGTTCCCGTCGTCACGCAGGGCACGTGTGCGGGACGCGGCGCTGCTTCCCCCGGGCCCCGCGTGTCCCGCACGGGCCCTCCCGCTGGGTCTGCTCTGGTCTTGGCCGCATCCCTTCCCCTCAATGGGGTCCCCCTTGATGGTGGTGGGGGGGGGGGACACGCATGGGGGTGCCCCCTCTCCGCCGCGCTGGTCCCGGTGGGCTCAGGCTCTCCCTGCCGCTCCCGCAGATGCCGGTGGCTGCTGCTGCTCCTGGCCTGGCTCAGAGGCGTCGGCACCGCGCAGGTGAGGGGCGAGGGGTGCTCGGTAACAGCCCCCAGGCCGCTGGATCCCGGCCCCGGCGCTGATCCCTTCCTCCACGCAGAGCCCAGGCCTGGGGATGCCAGCGCAGGTCTCCAAGCCCCCAGCCCCTGCTTGGTCCCGTTGGCAGCTGGACCCCGGTGCTTGGGGGCCCTGGGGACCCTGGAGCTCCTGCTCCAGCTCCTGCGGGGACGGCGTCGCCCTCCGTACTCGGAGGTGCCTGCGGTGAGTGCGGGACGGGGCAGCGCGGTCCCGCCCGGGGCATCCCTCGCATCACCCCAAACCCCTCGGCGTGGCTCCGCCGCTGCTCCGCACAGAGCCCTGCAGGCCCCCGGCCCCACTCTGCGCCCTGGCCAAAATCTGAGCCTGATTTTAGAGGGGGCGGCCGGAGCCAGACCCCGGTGCCTCCTTCCTGGTGCGGCTAGGGCAGGATGCGGCTCCGGGCGGGATGTCGGGGTCCCTGCTCCTTCTCCCCCATGGGGACGCATCCCTCCCGGTCCCGCTGTGGCTCAGCGGCACCGTGGCTCCCGGAGGAACGCAGGGTGCAGCGGGGCTGCTCAGGGAGCCCGGGCCCGGGCCCTGCCTTGCTGATGCTGTGGCCGCAGGTCCAGCGAGGAGGAGCCGTGCACGGGTGACCCGCGGCAGTACCGGCTCTGCCAGCTCCAGGTGAGCGTTGTGAGCGCTGCGCACCGCCATGGCCAGCCCCGGTCCTGGTCCGGTGGGGCTCCATCCTGCCGCTCCCATAGGGCTGCCCCAGCGGCTCCGTGCCCTTCCGTGCCATGCAGTGCTCTCTCTACGACAACAAGCCCATCCTGGGCACATCAGCCCGGTACCAGTGGGTGCCCTTCCATGGAGGTGAGTCCCGGGGCCGGGCGGCAGCATCACCAGGTTGACCAGGGGCTACGGCTGCCACCAGCATCACCCTCTTCTCTTCCCTCCCTCCTCCATCAGCCCCCAACGTCTGTGACCTGAACTGCTTGGCCGTGGGGCACAACTTCTACTACACCTTCGGCCGGGTGCTGGATGGCACCCGCTGCGGCCCCGGCTCTCCGGACCTCTGTGTCAGCGGGCGCTGCTTGGTGGGTTCATGGGGCCAGGACCCCCGGGGACCCCCAGCCCTGAGTCCCCTCCTTGAGGCCGTGTCTTGGCTCCTTGCAGAGCGTGGGCTGCGATGGGATCCTGGGCACGGGTGTGCGGCCGGATACCTGCGGGCCGTGCGGCGGGGGCCACGATGCGTGTCTCTTTGTGCATCGGCTCTTCCAGGGCGAGGACGCCTCCTCCGGTGAATGAACCATTGCCCCGGCCCCCTCCATGGGTGAATGCTTTGGTTCTTGGCTCCCCTGTCCTCTTGTCCCCTGCTTGTGTCCCCAGGGCATTGCCTGGGTCCCGTTTCCCCCATCCCCTCTCCATCTCTGCAGTCACCATGGGAGCACTGTGCCCAATCCCTTCCTGTCACCAACATGTGGGCACAGGGGCAGTTGGCTCGAAGGAGACCCCTCACTGGGGTCTGCCCCATTACAGGGGGTATTGCTCCTCTGGGGCAGATCTTTGGGGCACCTCCGTGGTCCATGGGGTCCCAGGCAGCACCCAGGATCCATGTGTCCACCTTCAGGGTCCATAGGGTGCCTGGCCAGGCTGAGGGGATGATGAGGCCCATGGGAGCACACAGCCCCATATGGCACTTAGGCTCCTCCAGGGCCATTGCTGGGTGCCCCAGATGTCCCAGCATGTGAGGCCCAACTGGGTTGATGCTGCTGGTGCCTGGGACAGGGCTGGAGCTGCCCAAGCCCCAGAGCTGCTCTGTGCCCATTCCCCTCCTGCCCCATCCCTGGGCTGTCCCCTCAGGCCATGCCCCAGCTCTGCCCTGACTCTGCCCCATCTGCCCAGGTTCTTTTGGGTACATGAATGTGACCAGGATCCCAGCTGGGGCCAGCCACATCAAGGTGACGGACAAGAGCCGCAACTACCTCGGTAGGACATGTCCTGTCTCTGTCCCAGTCAGTCCCAGTCCCTCCCAGTCAGTCCCAGTCTCTCCCAGTCAGCCCTGGTTGGTGCTACCCACGGGTGCAGTGATGGAAGGGTAAGGGGGGTTTGCTCTGTGCCGTTCCCTGCGGTTCCCTGCTCCGATGCAGGTTCCATGGACATTCCAATGAACACTTGGGGCAGTTTTCCAGAGGCTGCGGCTGTGGTTTTGGGGAAGGGCTGAGCTGGAGCAGGGCCAGGACTGGGATCCCCAGACCCCCCAGTTCCCCTCTCAGTGCAGTCGGGTCCCTGTCCCCCCCCGGGACCATGCTCGGGGGCAGTTTGCACACCAGGGTTTGGCTCGGGATGAAAGCCAAGATCTCACAAGAAAGCAGATTTCTCGTAAGCCCCGGCCGCAGCTCTCCCAGCCCACGCTGCCCTCCCCGCCTGGGGAGAGGCCTTCGGTGGGGACCCAGGCATTGCCCGGTGCAGGGGTCCCAGCGTCCATGCAGTGCTTATGCCTCAGACACGCTCCCTCCTGCAGCCCTGATGACGAGCGATGGGCGCTATGTGCTCAATGGGGACTGGTCCATCGCCTGGCCGGGGCAGTACGAAGCAGCCGGCACCCGGCTACACTACACCCGGAGCCCCGATGGCACTGAGAGCCTGGAGGCCCCTGGCCCCACTGATGAGGATCTGCAAGTGATGGTGAGGGCAGAGCTGGTGCAGGGATGGGGGGCAGCCATCCCCCGTTCCCCATCGCTCCCCTTAGCTCTGCCCCTGCCTGTGCAGGTCCTCCTGCAGGAGCCCAACCCTGGCATCGAGTACGAGTTCTGGCTGCCCCGTGGGCACCCGCATCCTGCCCATGGCAACTCCAGCCCCCTGCGGCAGCCCCAGCCCCGAGGGGCTGGCACCCCCCCACCCCAGGACCCCCCGGGACCCCCAGCTCTGCCCCCCAGCTCTGCCACGGAGCCGCCACCGAGGAGCCCCCCTGGCTGGGCCGGGGTCCCCGCAGGTGCCTGCATCCCCCCCATGCTCCGGGGCTCTCTGCTGTGCAGAGCATCCCGGAGAGCCCCAAGGATCGATCTCATTGATGGGGGCCCCCGGCTTAACTCTCCCCCCATCTCAGGGGCCCCGTGTGCCCCCTCTTGCCTTATGGGGCCCTCAATGCTCCCTCCCAGCACCGCAGGAGGGGGTTTTGTGGCCTCTGTGTCCTTTTTCCCCTCTAAACCGCTGCAGCTTTGCCCCTGCAGGGCGATGCGGGAGGTGCCGAACCCCCAAGGGCCGCTCGCAGCGCATCCTCCACCTCTGCCAGAGCGACTTTGGTGAGCGCCAGGGATGGGGAGGGTTTCGGGGCAGGACATCGGTGGGGCTGGGGCTGGGGCCGTGCCCGGCTCAGGGTGCCCCGCACCTCGCCCCGCAGCGTTCCGGGGCCGGATCCTGGCTCGGCGCTTGGTGGGGCAGGAGACGCGCTACGAGGTGGAGGTGATGGCTCCGTACCGGTACCGCTCCCCGCTGCTGCGCAGGGAGTACCTGTGGGTACCCAACGCCTGCGGCTGCCCCCCGCTGCGGGAGGGGGCCGAGTACGTGCTGATGGCCAGGCGGCACGTTAACTACGAGCGCACCCTCAACCGCATCCTGCTGCAGGACCACGGCTACGCCCGCCCATGGACACCCCGCGAGGAGCGCCTGGTGCGGGAGGCGGCCCGGCACTGCCCCCAGCCCCGGCCGCCCTGAGCATCCCCCGCATCCCCCCCGCCTTGGGGAGGGCGCTGCCGGCAGGACCCCGGGGGCTGGGGATGCTCTCGTCGAGCATCAAACCCTTGCTATGGGTGCGGAGGGGGCTGCAGGGACCCCCCCACTTTGGGCTCCTTGGGGTGGATTTGGTGTGGGGGGGGTAATTTATTTTATATGCAGAAAATAAAGGTCCGTGTCCCCCCTTTTGCTGCGTGCCCCTTCCTGGAAGCTGCCTTGGGTGCCCCACACCACCCCCGTGCCGCGCCCCCATGCACCCGCTCAGCACCATGGTCCCTGGTGCAGCGATGGACACCAGCCAGGCGCTGCCTCCCCGAGGTCGGGCCCTGCTGCTTTATCTCTCTTCCGGAGGAGGCGAGCGGGTCCCTCCCTGTGCCAGAGCCCCCTCGGCCGTAACCCAACCCACAGCCTGGCGGGTGCTCCCATGGGGCCCACGCAGGGATGGGAAGTGCTGGGGATGCTCTGGGAATGGCTGCGCTGGGTATGGGCCTGGGGGGTATCCCAGAGTGGGGGCCTTAAAGTGGCAGCTGCCAGGCAGGAGGGTGCTTAGCACATGGGGTAATTCACCATCCGGCCCTGTGATCAGCCAAGGCTCTGTACTGGGCTCCCCAGTACAGCCTGAGTGATGTAGGTGCTTTGGAATGCAGGTGGAAGCACCTTGGGGTGATTAGGGCCAGAAAGGTGCCTCCAACCTATAGAATCCCTATGGCTGGGTTGAGTTCTCTTTGGTTGTTCCAGCCATGGTGGGCTGAGGGACAGTTGCTCCATGTGCAAAGAGAATCTGCAGGGAGAACAGCAGGGATCTGGGCTCTTGGCCCCTGTTGGGCCAAAGTGTGGCAGAGAGAAAGGACCAGGGGTGTTCTATGTGCCCCCTTGGTGCCTGTGACCCCTGGGAATCTGCACCTTGAAGGGGGACATGGTGGGGCCAGTGTCTGCTCCCCCTGTCCTGGGGAAAGGGGTGAGTGTGTGTCCCCATCTAAGGAAGGGGGGCTGCCTTGGGTTGTGCTGACAGGCCCCTGCAAGCCCCCTCTTGCGGCCCTGCTGTAAGGGTGCCTGTTTCTCAGCTCCCTATGGATGAGCATCAGGCTCCTGAGACCCTGTTCAAGTACTCGATGCTGTTGGCAACCCAGACCCAGGGATGCACCGTGCTCTGCATTGTAGGTCCAGGCTGTCCTCCCCAAGCAAGGGCTTGGGCTCTGGCTGCCTCTGCTCTGACAGAAGCTGCATGAGCTCATGGCTGGCCTTGTGCTGGAGGAGCTGGCTGCGGTCACCCGGGTGCAGCTGCTTGGACAGCAGTCACATCTCCTCCTCCCCATGGCCCCTGTGCTTGGGAAAGGGCACAGGGCTCCCAGCCTCGCTGGAAATAGCTCCCTTGCAGCAGCGTGCCAGGACAGGCCCCTCTGGATGGGTCTGGTCCCTTGGGGTGGGGGGGGGGATGAGCCAGGTAGGGAGGGACCCCAGCACCTCTGTGTCTGCCAACGGATGGGGCTGGACACGGGATGGGCTGAGCCCAAGCAGAGGGAGGTCTCTGTTGGGACAGAGTTGTTCAGAGAGGCAACAACCGGTTTATTTCAGAAGCCAGGCGAGGGCAGCTCTGTCCCAGGCTGGGATCCAGCTGCTTGCATCCGTGCAGCCCAGGCTGGTGTCAGGCTGCCCTTCCAACCCAGGGGCAGCAGGAGCTACCTTTCACAATGCAAAAGGCCACACGGTACGTGCCATAGAGGATGGCTGAGAGCACCAGGCTGCTGCAGATGAGGACAGGGAGCAGGTCGCTCTGCAGCCCCTGCTCGGAGGGGAGGCCTGGGGGAGAGGAGCAGGAGTGTGCTTGCTCATCGAAGGTGCCATCAGAGGGACAGGCTGTGCAGTTGTTGGCAGATGGCCCCTGGCACGTGTAGCACGAGGGGTGGCAGCTGGCACACAGCAGGGCTGTGGTTGTGGTGCCCGAGCTCTGGCTGTAGTAGCGTGGGGGGCAGTAGGACAGGCAGGAGCGGTGGTGGGCGAACAAGGAGCTGCCACACTCTGTGGAGGGAAGGTGGGTGAATGGGGCTGTGGGGCAAGAACCCCGTCCCCTCCGTGCTCACCTTTGCATGCTCCCTGTGCATCCCTCCTGAGGCACTCGTCCATGGTAGAGGCTGCGAAGCGCCGGGCTGACATGTCCTCAGCTGTGCCATAGAGGTGCAGGGTGAAGCTGGTCAGCAGACCTGCAGGCAGCAGGGACAGGACTCTTGTCCCCATCCTCTAGCCTTTGGGATGTGCAGGCTGGTGGATGTGGGGCTGGGAGCTATGGAGCTATGGGGGGGAGAGCAAGCTATGCTCCCTTCCTGGTGTGGTGGCCAGAGGCTCTCAAAACATGGTCCTGCAGAAAAAAGAGGGCTCAGGTGCCCAGGAGGAGCAGGAAGAAGATGAGTCAAGAAGGTGCTGAAGTGGAAGAAGGAAGGAGAAGCAATGTCCAAGCACTGCAGGATGCTGGAAAGCGGGGTTCACTCTCGCTGGGCACCCACCTCTGTTATAGGCATCCCCCTTGTTCTCGAGCTGAAGTGTCCAGGTCCCATTTGGGTTCTCGTCCCAGAAGTGTGTGGACATGAAGGTCCAGTCCTTGTAGCCCTGCTCGCTGGTGTCGTATGGGCTGGAGGAGATGAGACACAAGAGTGACCACCCAGGGGCTGCAGGGGAGGAATGCAGCCCAAGGGAACCCTACAGTCACCCTCTTCTTGGTATAAAGGGCATTGCCAAGACTTCATGGGGACCACAGAAGGGTTCTGAGCATGGAGGCCTGCTCCCTGTGGGGGCCATAAGTGGCCACTTCAGTGTAGGGGTATCTCCTGGCCCCAGGAGAGGCTGTGAGAGGAGGAGCGCCCTGTGCCCCACAGCAGCTGGCAAGTGTTAGTGCAGAGTGCTCTTACCGTACGGTCACCAGTGTGGACGTGGTCCCCATCGGGCTGGTCAGGGTGATCACCAGGTCCCCCCTGCGGCTGTAGCTCAGAGAGAGCTGGACCTGGACGTGCTCCAGGGAGCGGATGTGCTTGCTTCTCCCAGAGCAGAAAACATCTGTAGAGATGGTGAGCTTGGAGCCAATGTTCCTACCAAGTACAAGGTGGAGGTAAGGGCATCTCTTCCACCTGCATGGGCCTCCTCTATGCACAGCCCAGTGGTTACAGCAGAAGCTGTGCTGTAGCTACTGCTTTCTGGGAAGCAATGCCTGTTCCTGCAATGGGCATGGCACAACTTTGCTATAAATGTCCCTGTATGTGTTTGTATGAGGCTGGACCCAGGGAATATCATCCTTTACCGGGGTCTGTGAAGAGCCTTGACTGAGCACCTCCGCTGAGGCTGAGTTCCTGTCCATGCCTTGGCCATCTCCACCAGCAGACCAGCATCCAGGAGCCCATAGCCGTAGTGGTGGCTCACTGAAGAGCAGATACCACCCAAGAGAGGATGCATGAGCCCCTCTGCACTGAGAGAGCGCTGGGGGCTCTTGGCCCAGGCCCGCTGGTGGGGGTTAGAGGGGCAAGCAGGAGCAGGTAGGGCAGGCAGCAGCTGAGCCCTCGACTCACCCTTGCGTCCGGCCCCGTTCATAGCCCAGTCTTCTGCCTGCAGGTGAGCGGGATTGGAGGTCCTGATGACAAGATGCTGCAGGTCCCGCCAGGTCAGTGCTGGGCTGGAAGCAAGGCAGACTTGGGAACCGAAGGCTCTGCTTCAGGTTAGCTTTCAAGGGTGAGATTTGGCTCTTTGGATGAGTGAGCTGTCTGGGTCCAAGCTGGTCCCCCCTGCCCCAAAACCCTTCACTGCCAAAACGGGAGCAAGAGAGACCGCCAGAGGACACCTCTCCTCCTGCCTCTGCCTGCTCCCCAGCAGTGGCCCACCACGGGTTGATGTCCCAGCAGAGCCAGGGGAGACCTGAGCTCTGCACCCCCAAACCTCCCCGCTAGTGAAGTCCCCCTCCCTCGTCCCTGAAGGGTCCTGGTGAGGCACCAGGCTCTCCCTGGGAACTGTCCCACTGCCACGACCCCATTTACTTGGCCTGCAGCGAGAGGGCAACGATTCCTGCAGCCAGTGGGGCTGAGGCAGAGGTGCCCGTGTGCTTGTCAGTGCAGAGGTGGTGCAGGTCGGTGGTTACCTGAGGGGAGAGAGGGGTCTCAGCACTGCTGCTGGAGCAGAGCACAGGGCTGGATGGAGTTGATTTCAGTCAATGCTCCCTCTGGGTCCATACAGGGGTTTGGGGTCTAATGCAGATAGTCCAATAAAGCCCCCTCCCTCTCCCTCCCTAGAAGGCTCAGATGAGCCCTCTCTGTGCTGGGGATCGGTGTCTGGCCGAGTGTCCCTGCTCTGGTACTCACAATCTGCACCTTGCTCGTGGTCCTGCTGCTGTAGGTGGTGGTGAGGATGGCAGAGCATCCCTCGCTGTACCAGGGCCTCTGGCCACCCGCCAGAACGCTGCCCACTGACAGGGTGTAGATGCTGTTGGTGTACCCATCGCAGTTGCAGTTGTCATAGTTGATCCCCCCATTGCCAGAGGCCCAAATGAAGATGGAGCCGAGACCACCCCGTCCCTGGGAGGTGGGGAGATAGAGGGGGATCAGCAGGGAGCCCTCACACCAGGGATGCTCCCAAGGCCAGCACCAGGCTTACTTTGCTGGCCCCTCTGTGGAAGGCTGCTGCAGCCAGCACGCCTGGCCCATCCACGGTCTTCCCGTCGTCCTTGGGGCCCCAGCTGGCACTGTAGATGTGGATGTGCTGGGAATGCAGGCTGAGGGACTGAGCCTCCACCACGTCTGTGATGGGACCATCGAGCATCCGCACGCCTGCAGGGCCAGGGTGAGGAGCAGCAGTGGCAAAGGCTCAGCAGCACTTGGGAGGCTGGGTGGGCAGAAGCCTCGCACATGCCACAGCAATGTAAGGGTTGAGGGGCATCTCACCAACCCCTCTTCATTCCCCCACCTCCCTGTTGCCTTGAACACCTTTATTGTGATGCTGCCCTAAGGAGATCAGGTTCCTGCAGGCTGGAAGCTGTTTTGCAGAGCTCCTTGTTAAGCCCTTTTCAACTAAGCTCTGTGAGTTCTCCCAGCTTATAACCCCATTTGCCCTACTTGCTTCCACAGGGGAGCTTGTGGTGGGTGTTAAACCCCCTGGGAGCTGAGCCCCGTGACTGGGTGTGCAGTAACACCATAGAATCACAGAATGGTTTGGGTTGGAAAGGACCTTAGGATCATCCAGTTCCAACCCCTCTGCCCATGGGCAGGGACACCTCAGCCTACACCATGTTGCCTAAGACTCTGTCTAACCTGCCCTTGAACACTGCCAGGGATGGAGCACTCACCCTGTGCCAGCACCTCAGCACCCTCACAGGGCAGATCTGCCTTAGATCTGATCTGAACTTCCCCTGTTTCAGTCTGAACCCATCACCCCTTGTCCTATCGCTACAGCCCCTGATGAAGAGACCACAGCACCCTCTGCTTCCCAGTGAGAACCTAGCTCCTCACAGAGCAGCTCTGCCCCGGGGCCATGCGTCCCTTCCCCGAGTGCCAGAGCAACCTTTGTGCATCAATGGCTCACCTCCAACGCTGGCCTCGTACGCAACGCCTGCTCCACAGAGCTGGTTGTTGGCTGCAGCTGCCACTTCTCCTGCACAGCGTGTTCCATGCCTGAGGGGTAGAGTGTAGCCTCTGAGCCCTCCTTAGTGAGGGGCAAAGGGGGCCTGGGGCAGCCCTGGCCATGGAGAAGAGATAAAGCACCCAGCATAGGGTGCTGGGCAGAACTCACCAGTTCTCCTCCTCAGTGGTGTACCTGGGCTGGGGATCAGGGTCATTGCTGTTGAAGTCGTAACTTGCCAGAGGGTCCTGTTGCAGAAAGAGGGACTGGCATGAGCAAACTGCCTCTCTGGATGGGCAGTGACAGCCTGACACAGCTGCCTGGTGCTGTGCCCAGTGCCTGGCAGCGTGGATCACCCTGGGCCCTTCTCAACTGCACTGGGTTAAACCGGAGAGGTTGGGAATGGGGTTTTGTTAAAGGAACATCGCTTTGTGCATTGCTCTACTGCTTCATCGTGCCCAAGCTCACCTGTGGTGAGGAAGCCTGGCATGGCCACTCACCTGAGGGTGAGCCTTACTGCCTGTGTAAGGAGAGGAACTACAGGGCACTGAAATGGTGGTGTTATAAATGACAGATAAGATTTACCCATCCTGTCTCAGAGCACGTGGAGGTTTACCAGCTTTACTGCCTTTGCACTGGGGGCAATGGGTCCAAGTTCTTTCCTGATGTGCAAAGTCACTGCAGGAGATGCCAAACCTTTTGATCCAGCCATGGAGAGGCTGAGTTCCCATTGCAGTCCCACGGGAGGGATGAAGGCACCAGCACCCACCCTCCCCTGGAAACACACGTGCCCCAAAGGAGCCTTTGCTGCTCAGCCCCACGTAGTTACATAGTTGGCAGACAGGTCTGGATGATCCTTCTCGATGCCATCGTCCAGGATGGTCACCACGACCCCCAGCCCCGTGTACCCTTTGCTCCAAGCAGTGAGGATGTTCAGGTCGGGATTAACGTCATTATTCTGGAGAAGGGATTAAATCTGATCAGCCCCTGGGCTGCGGGTGACCTTCAAGGACAATTCTGCTGCCTCATCACTGCCAGCATCACTCCTGTTTATGTGCCAGGGGGTGGGTGGGTGTGTGATTTGCTTGAGGATTAGAAAGCAGCAAAATCTCACCATGTACCACTGCTTATGGAACCAGGGATCTGTCGGCACCACACTGATGCTTCTCTTTGCGCGCCTCTTGATGCTTTGCTGCTCAAACCAGAGGACCTGGGCAGGAAGCAGCATTGCTGGGGTCAGGCAGAGCCTGCCCAGCCCCAGAGCCCGGGCTCCTGCCGCTGCCTCCTCCCTACCTTTGGCTCTTTTGTCAGGCGCATATTCCAGCCCCAGTGCCTGCTTAAGGCTTTCTGCCTTGTGCCTCGGTGTTTGAAATGGTAATAAGGCTCTCCCTCCATCACCTGCGGGCAAAAAGAGCTGTGGTAAGAGAGCTGGAGCCGTGTGCTTGCTCTATATGGGTGGCAGGGACCCTAAAGAGACGTTTGATGGGTTGTACGCGGCAGGAGCAGCAGAGAGCATCACTTGGAACCAGGGCAGGTTTGCGGGTGCCCTTTGGGTTTCCCCTCTCAGCGATGCACACACAGAGGCCATCGGCAATGTTCACCCCTACTGCACTCATCCTTTAATCTGCGTCCGGGGGCCTAAAACCGCCTGAGGGAGTAAATGCCCTGTTCCGGGGCTAAACCAGCGTCCACCGGGGACACACAGGGGGGATGAGCCAAGGGGACCAGCAGAGGAGGACGAGCGCAGTAGGGCACTGTTCATAGGAGCTGCCGGGCTTGCCCCGGCCCCCGCCTGCCCCATGGCTGCCCCATGGCTGCCCCATGGCTGCCCCATGGCCGCCGCCGCACCTGGCCCAGGCAGAGCAGCCCGTGCCGGCGGGCCAGGCCCTGGGCCCCGCTCGGCCCCGCTGCCACCCGCACGGCCCAGCTGCTCAGGTAGACGTGGGGCTCGGCGGAGCCCAGTGGGGCAGAGGCCACCACCGCGGCCATCACCGCGGCCTCCACCAGCGCCAGGAGCGGCCTCGGCCTCGGCCTCGCCGCCATGGAGGCCGCAAGGCGTTGAGCGGCCGTTGCCATGGCGACAGCGCCGCCCCGCCCCTCCTGCCGCCGTCGCCGCGGCCTCGGGCCAGCACGGAGTGGGGGGGGCGGTGGAGACCGGAGCCGCCGCAGCCGCCATGGGCACGGTGCCGCAGCGCCTGCAGCGCTTCCTCGATCGGCCCGGCCCGCTCGGGGACCTCCTGGGCCGCCTGGAGGCCCGCACCGGCGTCCGGCGGCTCTACCTGGCCACAGGTGCGACCGGGATCCCCGTCCTGTCCCGTCCCGTCCCAGCCCTCCCCGGCTCCGCTCCGCTCCGTTCCTTCCGCTCCCGTGTAGCCGGCTCTCCGAGGGTCCCTCCTCCTTCCTGGCGCGCCCCTCACCGCGCCTCTGGGCTCCGGGGGTCCGCAGGGGGTCTGCCGGAGGTGCCCGTGTCCGTCATTGCCTTCGGACCCCCCCCTCTGCCCTTCTGCCTCCTGGTGCGGTTCCCTTTACCTGCTTGTGTTCCTGCTCCGAGGGGGAAAGGGGTCCATGGACCATGGTGATGCTGTGGGCGGGTTGCGTTTGGGTGCAGTGCGTGGCCAAACCAGTGCCTTTGGTTGCGCTTGGGTGCGATGGGCTTCTAGGGGCAGGGGAAGAGCAGAGGCACCGCTCCCCCCAAACAGCGATGGTTCCTTGTTCTCGGTCCCTGTCCTGGAAAGGAGAAGCTGCTGCTAAACTCAAACTATCGGGTTTCTCCTTCCCCCCCCCACTCTGTAGCGGCTCCTAATTCGTGTTTGAACCCATCTGAACCCAGTAGCGCCCATGGGCTGTGGTCTGGAGCCCATCTCGCCTTACCTCTGAGCAGCACAGCCAGGTCAGCCCTGCAGTGGGTAAAAATGATCCCCGAGGAGGATAGTGTTCCCTTCCCTCACCCTCCTTGCTGGGGCAGGAACCACGGGACAAATCCGGCTGCCCCACTCAGCAGCTCTTCTGTGTAAGCAGCGCCTTTCACTTGGGTTTTTGCTTCCATATAAATGTATGTGGGGGCTAATTTAGCCCGTGAAACCCCTTCTAAGGCTCTTGGGGGATTGAAACCCAGCGCTGCCTGAGCCTTCCTGTTGGTTTTCCTTGAAGGGAGGTTTGTGAGTGCTTCCAAAAGCCACATTGCTCCTACCTGTCTCCTGGGAAAGACCCAAAGCCCCATTCGTGCGCAGAGCAAAGCACAGAAATGCTGCGGTGAGCAGAGCGAGGATAAAGCATCCTGCAAGCCCGAGCAAGGGCTTTCCTCTAAGTCACAGCACAGACGGGTTAAGTCCAGGCTTTCCTGCCTGCAAAGTGCTTACTTTGGCAGTGGAATCTGTACATAGGGTAGGGGAGACACTGCTGGGCTGTGGCAGTCAGTGCCTTCCATTGTGTCCCCAGGCTGCTTTCCTGCTCTCTGCCCATTCAGGGTCTAAGTGAGCAGGAGCAAGGGCTTCTTGCCCCAGCTTCCCCCATCCACCGGCTGCCTTTAGCAAGGGTCTGAGTGCTGGGCAGGCTCCAAATGACCCAAGCCTTGGCTTACATTTAACTTTGACAATTGAATTTAATCACAGGGAGGTGGGATTCGATTGCTCCTTCTCAGAGACTGAATCCTCAACGCACAGTGGCTGCTCAGCACAAATAGGTGCAGGAGATGCATACAGGGAGCAGGAGATGAAGGCTCTGGCAGCAAGGCTGCTCCTGGACACTTGGCTCCCATCAGCAAGGCTTGTTCCTGACCACCTGAACAGCTCCTACAGAATGCCAAGTGGTTTGAGCCCTGGCACGTGGTGGAGCAGCTCCGTGCTTTGACTTTGGACTGTAGTTGTGTGTTAAAGTCTCTGCTCCTGATGGCTCTGCAGCCTTGGCTCGGGTCCATGCTGGTGATGGGTTGAAGGTGCTGTGAGTTTGTTGTGGTAAAGTCCCTTCCAGGCCAGGGAGGGGACAGGCAGTGACAGGTCCGGGTTGTGGCTCCCTTGAGGGAGAGGGTGATACTGGAATTAACTGGGAGTGATCGTTATTCCCAACAGGAAGGTCCCGCATTCACCTCTTCTGACTCCTGGGATGAGAAACCTGCTCTGCAGAGAGCTGGGGTCTCCTCTCACCCTCCTGGTGCTGGCAGGTACATGACCACCCTCTCTGTGCCCTGGCAGGCTCTGCGGGGTTCCTGGGGCTCTACCTCGTGTTCGGCTACGGCGCTTCACTGCTCTGCAACCTCATTGGCTTCGCCTACCCTGCATACGTCTCGTAAGTCCCAGGGTCTGGAGGGCTTCCCCTGCCCTTAGCTGAGGGTCTCCCTGATAAATGAACAGGCATTTACAGCTGGGAAGCTCTTGAGACCTTCCTGAGCATACTGGGAACTGGCCCAGCTTGGGCCAGCAGCATCCAGTAGGCAGGTTTGCTCCAGGGTTCAGAGCATTTGGGAAGGAATTGCCCACCCTGGCACCAGGAGTGCAGCAGCAGTGCCCTTCCCATCTCCTGCCACAGCATCAAAGCCATCGAGAGCTCCAGCAAGGAGGATGACACCACGTGGCTGACGTACTGGGTGGTGTATGGCGTCTTCAGCGTAGCCGAGTTCTTCTCTGACATCTTCCTCTACTGGTTCCCCTTCTACTATGCTGGGAAGGTACCGGGGGCTGCTGGGGCCAGAGTCCTCTCACCCAAGGGCTAAACTTGGAGGAACCAAGCGTGGTGGGCTCTGTCCTGTTGGCAGGACAGTGGTGGTGGCTGTGGTGGGGCCACAGTGGGCCTGCAGTCCAGCACAGCCAGCTGAGGTCCTGGCATCTCCATTGAGCAACTGCCTTTGGGCTGTCTGGGGGGAACTGGAGCAGCTCAGCTGCTGGCCTGCCCCTGCTGCTATCCTTGGGGGCTGCCTTGCTCAGCCCCTGCCCTTGCCATCACCCAGCTCTAGAGCATCTCTCCTCCCCGCAGTGCCTGTTCTTGCTGTGGTGCATGGCCCCCGTGCCCTGGAACGGGTCACGGGTGCTCTACCAGAACATCATCCGGCCCTGGTTCCTCAGGCATCACCGGACCGTGGACACTGTGCTGGGCAACCTCAGCACCAAAGCCCTGGATGCAGCCTCCAGTGTCACCAGAGAAGGTAACAGGGGTTGGTCACCCTGCTCCGTGTCTGGGGCAGGCGATTCCCCCCCCAGAGCACGGCCCAGCTCCTCTGGGATGTGAGCAGCTCTCGTCTGCATGGCTGGCAAGCAGCCCTCTCCGTGATGCTGGGCTCGCAGCGCTGTCCTCCCATGGCAGCAGGAGCCAGGCAGGGCTTGAGCTCTCCCCTCTCTGTAATTCTCTCTCTTCTCTCCGTGCCTCATGGTCCAGTCCTGCAGACTCTGATCAGCAGCAGAGCCCGGCTGACGGCCGAGGTGGCTCCACAGCTCACTTTGTCTGTATGTAAAGAGCCGCAGGTCCCGCTGCCGCTGCAGGGAGAAGGGGCCGTTCTGTGCCAGCCCTCCCGGCCGCTTGGCCGCATCCTGCGGACGGCTGCAGACCACCACGGTGGCGTTGGTCAAACGGAGCTCCAGCGCTGCCAGGCTGTGGTGTGGCTGACACAACCGTCCCCTTCTCCCTCAGCTTGTGTAGAGCAGGCGCTTTCCCTCCTGCTTCTCCGTAGCCAGCCCCCTAAGCCGCCTGTACCCTGCTTGGTCCCACCGTGCTGGTGACAACCTGGGGCTCCCATTCAAACCTCCCAACCCCGGCGAGGGCAGGAGCTGCACCAGGAGCGGGAGGGAATGGGGTGGCACCGCGTGCTCGGGGTGGGCTCGTCCCGGGGTACCCGTTGGTGGCCCTGACACCGTGCCTGTATCCCCGGCAGCCTCCGGAGCAGCCCTGACCCTGGCGAAGGAAGCGGAGAAGAGGAAATGAGAGGCATCACGACCCCGACCGAGCCCCACGGCTGTTGCTTCCCCCCCCTCCCCAATAAACCGCCGGGGGTCCCCGGTGCCCCCCGAGCCGCCTCTGCCATGGGCTCCCTGCGGGCGGCGCCGCGGCCCCTTTAAGAACCAAGGCGGGGATTACGCGGGGATGTGACGTCACTCAGGGGGCGTGGCGGGATGAGGGCGCGGGCGGTGGTGCTACGGTGGCCGGGAGGAGGGTGAAGGGGTCGGTCCGCGGCGGGGAGCGAACGGCGGAGGGGTCGGTGTCGGTGTCGGTGTCGTTGTTTCCGTGTCGGTGTTTCCGTGTCCGTGTGGGTGTTCCCGTGTCCGTGTGTCCGTGTGTCCGTGTGTCTCCGTCTCTCCGTTCCGGGGGCAAGGCGTGGTTTGCCCGTCCCGGGACAGGGAGGGGGGAGGCCGGTCTGCCTGTCTCTAACGACCGGGCACCGAGAGGGTCTGTGTGCCGGGGGGGGGAAGCCGGTCTGCCCGGAGGGGTCTGTGCGGGGGCTCTGCCGGTCGAGGGGGGCAGTCTGTCCGTCCGTCCATCCGCTCATCCTCCCCCCCCCGACACCAGCCCCCACGCATGAAGCGGCCTCGTGATGAGCGCTAAGGCCAAGCGGGTGCTGCCCACCCGGCCTGAGCCCCCCACCGTGGAGCAGATCCTGGCCGACGTTCGGGGCACCCACCCGGCAGACCCCGTGTTCCTGCTCCCCGCGGAGCCTCAGCGGGAGCACGGCCTGTGCGCAGGTGAGCCCGGGGGAGAGACAACGCCGGGGGGGAACGGAACGGGACGGGACGGGGCTCGCCGACCGCTGCTGAGCATCCCCGCTCTGCCCCCATCAGGCCCCGCTGCGGAGGAGAGGGAGCGGCTGTACCGGCAGAGCCGCTCCTACGTGGAGATGCACCAGTGGCTGGAGGAGTCCCGGCAGCGGCTGCGGGAGCAGCGCCAGGAGCTGCAGCGGGCGGGCGCGGCGCTGGAGCGCGGCATTGCCGACATGAGGCAGAAAGCGCTCTGAGGGGCTGCTGCTCCCGGTGCTGGAGCATCGCCCTCGGGCTCGGCACGTCGATCCTTGCAGTTTCTGTCTAATAGGGGAGAAGGGTTTTACGTTCGGTTTACGGGAGGATCTGGCATCGCTGGAAAGGGACGGAGCTTTGCCCTGCTTGGCAGCGGTGGGACCCGCTGCCCCTGCCAGTTCCTGGTGCAGGAGGAAAGGCTCGGACCTTGTGTTGTCCCTGCTGCCCATGAGCTCGATGCCCTTGTCCCCAGAGGGTGGCACATCCTCTGCGCCCTCGTGCTGTGGCTTCACCTATGACTTTTCCCTCTGGTACTGCCCTGAAGATGACCACATCGCCTCCCGCATCTCTGAGCGCTTGAAGAAAGAGGGGTTTCGGGGCTATGCCGAGCACCAGGACCACGTGGCTGGGAAGCCCGTCATCCTGACTGCCACAAAGGTCATCGAGGCCAGCCGGGTGGCCATCCTCCTCCTCTCTGCCAAGTCCCTGGGGGACCCGTGGTGCCAGCGGGTTTCCCAGTGGAACCTGTGTCACATCATTCAGTGCCATGGAACCAAAGTGATCCCCGTGTGTGTGGGTGTGAAGAAAGCCGAGGTGCCCCCCTTCCTGCAGCACCTCACTGAGCTCGAGTACCAGAACGAGTTCTTCTTCGACAGGCTTGTGAGCAGCCTGAGAACATCCTGCTTGCCAGCACGAAGAGCCCAGCGAGCCCTGTCCTCCAAAGAGAAGAGGTGAAGGACCACGGGTGACCCAGGGCTGGTTTTGCAGCCTGTCTGGGAGCTGATGGCCCTGCAGCGATGGTGGTAGAAGCAGGGTTGTCCTGTACTGATAGTAAAGGTGGTGGGAACAGGGATTGTCACAAATCTCATTAAAAACCCTTCTCAAGGACTGAAGATGTGACTTTCCGCCTCCCTTACTTCACTTGGTGGCTGGGGGGTGAAGTCACCATAACACCCCACACGGTGGGTGTCTGCCTTAGCAGGAGTCTGTGTCCCGCTACCACCCTGCACAAGAAATGGATCCAGCAAACACTGTGGGGAGGCTGCGCTTCTCCCCAGCCCAAGTGTATGGGACAGACAGACCAAGTCCTTCCTATTTACACAGGTTGGCTTTTAATTGTTAATACTCTCCAGAGTCCCAGTAAGGTAACATCCTCAGTACATACATACAGCGAAGGAGGGAGCAAGGCGCCGCAGAACCTGGTGGCATTGTCCACAGAGGGCTGAAGTCAACGCGAGATGGGCAAGAGTGGGGCTGGGTGGTGGGGCTTGAACCTGGGGCTGCTGCCAAGGACATGGGGTGATGCTGGTCCTCCCAGCACATCCGATGCTCTGTTATGGCTCTCAGGAGTGCCCCAAGGGACTTTGTCTCCTTTCCTTCAGTGCCAGCCCTAGGTCCTGCTGGCTGCAGCCTCCCAGCCACTGCTGGAACTGAGGTCTCCAGCAAGCATCAGGGTCTGCACATCCCCATGGAGCCCACGCATGTCCCCACAGCCCTGGTGTCACCCTGGGCTCAGTGCATATCCCTGTGGCCCCACTGCGTGTCCCCACAACCCCTGTGCAAGTCCCAAGAGCCCCTCACTATGTCCCCCCATGGCCCTTTGGGTGATCCCTGTGTCCTCTGCACATGTCCCCATAAGTCCTGTGTCTGCCCCCCATGGCACTGCTATGTGGGGTTGCCACAGGTCATCTACAGCAGGCAACAAGCTATAGAGAGCACCTAGGGTGGGTGGTGTGTTCACCAGCAGCTCAGCCCCATCCCATCCACTCCCTGGGGTCAAGGTGCTTCCTGCATCTCCCAGTCTCAGCACATAAGGCTGACAGCAGGAGCAGGGGGTTCCCTGATGCTTTGGGGTGGGAGCCCCCATGCTCATGGGCATGATCCACTCCCAGATGGACTCGTGTCCACGGCGCATGGGGACACCCTGGCTGCAGGCTGGGATGGGACTGGGGGGCTGCAGATGGGGGTGAGGGGCCCTGGACCCTTCCCTAGGGGTTGGGCACCCTGGCACCAGTTCAGCACCGCTTCCCCTTTCAGGGCAGCTCCCAGCCTGCAAGCAACCCTGCAAGCAGCCTCCAGGGACGAGCCCATCAAGACCCCATTATCCACCAGCAAGCCCCTTCCTGGCTCCTCCTGTGCCTCTTCCATCCAACACTGCTGTGAACAAGCGCAAGCACCATGGCTGCAGGTTACCCATTAGCGATCAGCCATGGCCCTTATTTAGGACCCTCCAGCAGCACCAACACGGGGGGCTCTGGCCCCCATCTCCCCACAGCCATGAGCTCCTCTCCCTGCATTGATCCAGCCACGTGTTCCCTCCCCACCGGGTAATGAATGAGCTGATTGCTGGCAGAGCAGGCTGTTGGTGGCCATACAAGCAGAAGCACGGTGTGCCACCCTCCTGGTGTGCAGGCTCAGGTCCTGGTTCAGCCTCTGCCCAAGGCAGGTGAGCAGGATGAGGGCACAGCTTCTCCCTCAGCTTGTTCCAGGGTGTCCAGCAGTGGGAGGAGGTGGCCACTGAGACTCACCCTGGGTTGAGCATCAGCCCCATCCCAGCACCCAGCAGGTCCCCCTGGCTCTGCTTTGGTCCTCAGCACCGAGAACTGCGATGCTCTGGTACAGCAAGACCCCAACCGGGTCAGGCAGCGGATTGGGATGGCTTTTGGTTCCCAAGCATCCCATGCTGCTGTGTCCCCACCCCAGCACAGTTCTGGCCGGCTCCCATGGGACAGGGTGTCATGGGACCCTCGCCGGGGCTGCTCAAGCCTGGATTTTCTCCACCCCCTTGTCAGCCACCGCTGTCACCGCCATGGGGCTGGGGACGTAGTTGAAGGGGGTGACGCGGGCGGCTTTGCTTGGGGAGCCGTGCCGGCTGGTGGGGAATGTACTGGCGGGTGCCTCGTGGCTGAAGGAGATGGGCAGCGCGGCCTTGGGTGGCACCAGAGCTTCTCCATCGCAGGCGGCACGGGTGTGCGGGGGCCCCTCATGGGTCTCCAGGGTGGGAGAGGTGCTGGAGTTGGTCTTGGTGGTGGAGAAGTCCTCAGTCTGCACCACGGCATCACTGGTCTTCCTGGGGCTGGGGCTGCTGGGGCGCTCGTCCTCGCCAGCCCCCGCCAGCGGCAGGGCCGAGGAGGGCAGCGTGCTCTTGAGGATGTGCGGGATGTCCTCGTCCCGAATCCTCCTCCACGTGCCCTTCATCACCACCACCGGCGGCTTCGCCGGCTGCTCACCGGGTGCTGCCTCAGGCTGCTGCCGCTGCCGCGCTGAAGCCTCGGAGCGGGCCGAGAGGACGGAGGAAGGGCTGCCCGTCCTCCGCGCCACGCTGATGTTGGGCGAGGACGAATACCTCTTGAAGGGCTCTGGCGCAGGGACGCTGGTCTTCACCGGCAGCCGGGACGGGCTCTCGGAGCTGGTTCTCCGCGGTGGCTTTACCCCGGTGGGGACTTTGCTGCCGAGCTGGGCTCTGGGGACGAGGGGCCGCGGGCTGGAGGCCGCCGGCTTGGCTGCCTTGAGCTCGTCACAGCGGGAGGAGCAGAGGAACACGGCCGGGAGCGTGTCTCGGCTGCGCTGCGGGGAGGCAGCGCGGGGCTGCGCGGGGGAGAGCTCGGCGCGGTGCCGCAGTAGGAGGCTGGAGGATTCCTTGATGAAGGTGAGCTGGCGCAGGAAGCCGGAGCGGTCCGAGTCGCTGCCACTGGAACGGGTGGACGACATCCGCACCAGGTTGAGCCGGCCCCCCGCCGGTCTGCTGCCCCGAGCCTTCCCACCGTCAACCTGCTCCTCCAGCACCGGCATGGGCCCCCGGCCCGGCAGCGCCTTCCTGCTGGGCTTCTGCATGAAGGGGATGCGGACGGGGGATTTCTGCGTCTTGGACGGCTTCGGAGCCGAGGGCCTGGGCGCCGGGGCTTTAACCGGGGGGCCGGGTGGGGAGGAGGAGCTGCCCGCCTTGCCCGTGGCTGCAGGACCCTGCTTGGTGTGCTGGGAGGGCGACGGCAGCTTCTTGGGGCCATGCTGGGACGGGGTGGAGGTGCGGGAGGAGCCGGAGGAAGGGGGGCCCTTGCCAATGCGGGCGGGCGGCGTTGTGCTCCTCTTGGGCAGCGCCAGGTCCCCGGTTTCGGGGGGCTTGCCCAGCCGGTGCAGGCTCCGAGAGCGCTGCTGGCTCAGGGAGAGGTTCTTGGCCGGCGGCGCCTCGGGCTTCGTTGCAGGGCTTTTCTTTGGGGTGGCCCTGGGGCTGGGGGTGTCCTTGGCCAGGCTGGGCATGTAAATGACGGTCCTGCCGCGGAAGACCACGGGCAGGTTCGGTACCGGCTTGGTGGGAGCTGGGCTCCGCTCTGCCCTGGCACTTCCACGTCCGGTAGAACGAGCACCGGGCACATCCTTTCTCTCTGGGCGGCTCTTGCTGTGCTCCCGCCTCGCTGCATCCCGGCTGGCCACGCTGCCAGCCCGCTTCTTCTCCTGCCTGCCCAAGGAGAGCTGCAGGGTGGACCCGACCGAGAGCCCCGACATGAAGGAGAGGATGGAGTCAGACTCGGAGGAAGGCTCCCGCGAGAGGGAGGCAGCAGCCTGGTGCAGCCAGGTGACTATGGAGTTGGCGCCCTCCTGGATGGCTTGCCACTCCACACTGTCCAGGTCTGAGCCCCGGTCGGAGCTGGCATCCTCGGTGGGGCAGTGCCTCCCCTCTGCTTTCCGCTCCCTCCCACTGGCACCCACTGGCTTCTGCTTGCGCTCTGCCATCCTCCGGCGAGCTGAGGGCCGCCGGTGCTTGGGCATGGCTGAGCCGATGCACTTCTGCAGCAAATCATCCTCTGAGTTGAGGCTGGGGGAGCTGGGGGAGCCCCCCTGAGCCTGCCCTGCTGCTGCAGCTGACCGCAACCAAGCGGCTTTGCCACAGGGCTGGCCCCGCTCCTCGCTGTCGGAGAGGTTGGCATCGCTCAGGGAGCTCAGGGAGGAGCTGAGGGAATAGCACGGCGGTGTCTCATCAGCGATGAGGTTGTTCTGTGGCTTCATCTTCACTGGCCGGGGACTGGGCCGGGGCTCAGGCTCCCTCCGGGGGCCAGAGCTGCCCCTGTTCTCCTTCCTGGGCACTTGGCCGGGCTGGGCTCTGCTGCTGGACACCCCCTTGCCTGCCTCGGGCGGCTCGTCCGAGTCCTGCTCGTAGAAGCAGTAGACAGCTTCCTCTGTCGGTGTGGTGTGGCACAGCGACTGGAAGGCCACCCCGTCCTCCTGGGGAGCATCCTTCCTCCCAGGGGGGGGACCATTGGTCCTCCCCACCTCCAGCTCCAGGTTGGCTCCACCCTTTGCAGGGGGCTGGCCCCGCTTCCCGTCCCCACCTTGGCCACAGCTCGATCCTGCTTTCCCCTTGCGGGCTGAGCTCAGCCGGGCAGGCGCCGAGCTGCCGGAGGCGGCTCTCCTGGCCGGGATGGTGCCAGCCTCGCGAACCGGGTGCCCTGTGCCTGGGCCGCGGGGGGGCTCGGCCTCCTCGGTGGCCGGGTAGCGCAGGGTCTCATCGCTCAGCGAGGCAGCGCTGGAGAAGTTAACGGGGGTCCCATCAGCAGAGTCAGTGAAGGAGTCATCGTCCTTGAAGAGGTCACGGGCAGCAGCACGCAGGTGCTTGGGGATGCCGGGGTGCGTGTGGGCTGGCACCAGCATGTAGACAGGGACGTGCACCGGCTTCTTTGTCTGGGGGTGCAGGACCTGGCCGGAGAGCAGGGAGGTCTTCACCTTGCGGAAGCGGGAGGGCATGGCGGAACTGATGCACTCCTTCAGGATCTCAATGTCATCATCATCGGGGGGCTCAGCGCGGTCAGCTCGCCGCCGGCCCTCCAGGTACCGCTCCTCCCGCCGCTCCTCCCTCTTCTCATGAGCCACAAAGTTCAGGCTGTTCTTCTCGGGGAAGGTGGGCATCAGCTTGAGCTCCACATCCTTCTGCACATAGTGCTCGTGCAGGGGCAGCGCGCTCAGGCTGGAGGCGCAGGAGAAGTTCTCGTTGGGTTTCTCCACTGTGAAGTAGACCATGGAGTCCAGGTCCTGGGGCAGCTGGAAGCGTTCCTTGAAATCCGTGATCTCCATGAACTTCTTGACGTTGTTCTCCCACTGGATGTTGAACTGACTGGTCTCCTTCTCCGGTTGGCAGCCCAGCTCGAAGAGGGGGGTCTTGCTGCGGCTGGGGGGCATGGTCTGCCCGGGGCTGTCGGGCAGCTCGCTGGGGCTGATGGTGCCGCTGATCATCTCACTGCAAGGGTCGCTCTGGATGGAGCTGGCGATGGAGGGGCTCTCGAAGCTGCCCAGGGAGCTGACGGAGCTGCAGCGGCTCATCACCAGTGGTGTCTCCTGGATGTAGTTCTCTGAGGAGCTCGAGGGCGTGAGGTCCTCCTGGTGCGATGGGGATGACTCCCGCAGGAAGACCTTGTCATGCTTTGGGAAGGGGATGCTGATGGGCTGGGAAATCCCCACCGGCATGGCTAGATCCGTATCTACTGCCTTCTCCTTCTCCTGCCTCCCATCCTCTCCTTCTGCCTCCTCTTCCTCCATCTCCAGGATCTCCAGGGAGGAGTCACTGTCCAATTCATTCTCACTGTGGCTTTGCCCGTCGAGCACATTATCTGCCGAGGAGAGGGAGGAGAGGGAGCTGCACCTTGAGAAGCAGATTGGGGTGTCCTCCACCGAGTACTTCTGTACTGACTCCTGCTCCGCTGTGGCCGGCGGGTGGGCAGGCAGCTTCTCCGGGATCTTGCTCAAGGTCTCAGCTGTCTGCAGCAGCGTGGGGGGAAGCCAGGCTTGCTTTCTGCCCAGGAGGGAGGAGTGGTGACCGGTGCCAGTGGCCATGCCAGTCTTTGCCAGGCTCTCAAGCAGGGGGATGTGCTGGTAGGATGGGGAGAGTTTGATGGTGCGGACCTGGGAGTCAGGGGATAGCTTGCTGCCCGCCTCCTTCTTCCACTCAGCCTCTTTCTCCAGTGCCTTTGGGCTGGGGAAGGTCACCGTCTTCTTGGCCCGTTCAGGAAGGTCTCGCTGCTCTGGCTTGTCTGGCTCAGCCGGGTCTCTGCCCTTGAGCGTGGGGGGTTCAGCCCGCTCGGGCTTGCTGCTCAGGATGCTCTTGAGGTCAAGCCGGCTTGGCCGCTTCTGGTACCGCTGCAGCTCCTCCCGGTAGTCAAGGAAGGAGGCCCTGGTGCAGGGCTTCATGTGCTCCTTGGTGCAGTAACCATCGCTGGTGCTGCCGCTGTTGAGGCTGTCGTTGGACAGGCTGGTGTAGGCGGTCTTCAGCCGCAGCAGCGTGTGCGCCCGGCTCAGGCCCTCCCGCTTGGTGAAGCCGCCGGCATCCGAGAGGTGGCAGGGTGAGCAGGACTGGGCGCGCGCCTCGTGCACCTCCTCGGGGCCATACTGCCATTCCAGGCAGTGGTCCTCCGAGCTGAGGCTGAAGCTGTCGTCTGAGGACGTGTGCATGGTAGAGATGTCCTCCACCAGCTTGTCGATCTTGGCCACCGTGCTGGAGATCTTGTTGGCCAACTTCTCGGCAGCCAAGGAGACGTCGTCCTCTGGCAGTGGCAGCTTCTTGGGCTCGGATGCTTTGCTGCTGCCGTCCTTCTCCGGCTCCGGGCATCGCCTCTGTGCCAGTGCCCGGGGCAGCGCCTGCCCCTGCAGGAAGGAGGAATTGAGGAACATGGACAGGACGGAAGCGCTGGCGGTCTCCACGCCGGTGGAGATGTTGGGCACCTCGTCATCGTCGAAGCAGCCGGAGTCGGAGGCGTAGTCCTTCACCAAGCTCTCCACGTGCCGCGTGGGCTTCTTCACGCTCTGGCTTTTCAGGCTCTGCTTCTCCATGGTGTCAAAGGTCTCAGCCAAGTGTTTGGCATCGAGCTCAGCCTCCAGCGCCTTCTGCTTGCGCATGTAGAGCGAGGGCATGCAGGAACCTGGTGACACCACGGCCGTGTCCTTGTATTTGGGGGGCCGGTTGGTGAGGAGGTTGCGCAGAGCGGCTGCGCTGCCCATGGCGATCATCTTGTGCTTGGAGTGGATGAGGTTGCGCAGCATGCTCACCGCCCCCAGGTCCCACAGCAGCTCCTGGTCGCGGGGGCTGCGGGCGGACAGGTTCCAGAGCGTGCCGCAAGCGTTGCTGACGATGGTGAGGCTGTGCGAGCGCAGGTGCTGCAGCAGCGTCTGCAGGCAGTTGTGGTCCCGCAGCACCTGCCTGTGAGACAGAAGGACCCCCATCCGTGAGGACATCAGGTCCCCGACACCCCCATGGTGCCACCCACCACCCTGCGGTGACCCTCACCTGTAGTCCTCCCGCGTGGCGATGAGGCTGGAGACGTTCCTGAGGATGCCACCACCGCTCTCAATGATGGCCAGCGAATTGCTCTGGCACTTGTAGGTGAGGGTGCTCACCAGGAAGCCCAGCGCCCCGTCCACCCCGCAGATGGCAGCTTTGTTCTCCGTGCTGTGCGCAGACAGGTTCCACAGCGCGCTCAGGACGCTCTTCAGAGTAGACTCCTGACGCAGGAGGGGACACGGATCCATCAGCCCCGGTCCAGCCACCCCGGTTTCCCCCCCTCCTTGCCCGCTCCGGTGCTCACCTTGCCCGCATGCAGCGCGCACCGCATCAGCCCAGTCACGCTGCCCACCTCCCGCAGCACCTTCTTGCTGTTGATGTCAGCCCGCCAGGAGAGGTTCCTCAGGATGCTGGAAACCACCTGGGAGGGGAGAGTGAGGGAGGTGGGCAAAGGGACTGTTCCCTGCCTGTTCCCCCACCCAGGGGTGCCCCCATAGAGTCATAGAATGGTTTGGGTTGGAAAGGACCTTAAAATCACCCAGTTCCAACCCCTGCCATGGCAGGGACATCTCACCCTAGACCAGGTCACCCAAGGTGATATGTCCAACCTGGCCTTGAACAGTGCTGGGGATGGGGCAGCCACAGCTTCTCTGGGCACCCTGTGCCAGCACCTCAGCACCCTCACAGTAAAGAACTTCTTCCTTACATCCAACCTGAGCTTCTCCTGATTCAGTCTGAACCCATCACCCCTTGTCCTATCACTACAGTCCCTAATGAAGAGTCCCCCTCCAGCATCCTTGTAGCCCTCTTCAGACACTGGAAGCTGCTCTGAGCTCTCCAAGCAGCTTCTCCTCTCCAGGCTCAACAGCCCCAATGTTCTCAGCCTGGCTCCATTCAGGAGCTGCTCCAGCCCCTGAGCATCCTCATGGCCTCCTCTGGACTCGCTCCAGTAGCTCCATGTCCTTGTGCTGAGGACCCCAGCACCGCACACAGCGCTGCAGGGGGGGTCTCACAAGAGCAGAGCAGAGGGGCAGGATCCCCTCCTTGGACCTGCTCACGCTCTGACGCAGCCCAGGGTACGGTTCACTGCTGGGCTGTGAGCACACAGGAACCCAGCACCCACCTGATGCAGCTCCTCGCTGTCAGAGCCCAGCTGAGCCACGATGGCTTCCATGCAGCCCCGGCGGGAGCACAGCGTTGCCTGCAGGGAGGATGAGGGTGCTGAGGTGATGCTGTACCCCCCCCCCCCAAGCCCTGCAAACCCCCACTCTCACAGATCCCCCCCCCAACCTTGTTGACCACGTCTCCAAAGGTGAGGTTGGTGAGGGCCATCCCCGCGTAGCGCCGCAGCGCCAGGTTGAGAGGGTCGTTTGTCATCTTGTGCATCTCGTAGTCCACCTGCAGCAGCTCAGCCACCGCCTGCAGCCCTCCTGCAGGACAGGACAGCACAGGGGGGGGACTCAGGCACCAGGGAGGAGGGGATAGGAGGGATGGAGCCTGCTCCTGGTGCCCACCCCATCTCACCCAGCTCGTTCATGGCCCGCCGGTACTCCTCGTCGAAGGAGAGCTTCATGATGGCGCAGGTGGCCTGGCAGATCTGGGGCTCGATGGGCACTGGGGCTGCAGGGAGAAAGAGCAGGGTCAGCCTTGGGGGTCTCCTCCATCACCGCCACCTCCAGCACACTCGGATGCTGGCAGCCACATGCACCACCATGCATCCATGCACGCATTGGCACCCCTCCTCGCCCCATACCTGTGCCATTCTCAAGGCTTCTGCCCCCATCCCTGCTCTGCATCTGCAGCCAGTCCCAGCAGGTCTCTGAGTAGGAGCGGATCTGCTCCAGCACGTGCAGCACTCGCATCTCCTTCTTGGCCTGGCCCTCGTCAGGCTGGGAGAAGACGATGTTGTGGAGGGCCGCATTGGCACGCATGCGAGCATCCTTGGTGCCGGGGGGGCTCTCGGGGGGGCTCGGCTCGCCGTCCGAGTCGTGCAGGATCTGGATGAGCAGGGGCAGGCAGCCCGACTTGCGCATGGCCAGGCAGCTCTCCTGCGAGCTGGACATGGCCAGCAGCGTGCGGGACATGTCATCCTTGTCCCGTGTGGCCAGCATGGACAGGAGCCAGAACACCACCTCCACCTGCGGGGGGGTCAGGGTTACACACGGCTGCATCCCCCCCCTCCGTCCCCAACCCGCCCCAGCCCACCCCAGCCAGACTCTGGTGTGGGTTCCCCTCACCTTGCTGCTGCCCCCCTCCTCGGGGTGGGTTGGGGGGTCCAGGCTGCCATCGCCCTCCATGCCCGGCACCTTCCCACAGAGCTGCAGAGAAGGGGGCAGATGGGGGGGGTTGCAATGCACTGCCCTTGCACCCCCCCCCCCCCCCCCCGTGCCCAGTCCCTCCCTGCCTTTCAGCAACCCACGGGTGCCATTAAATAGCAGCGTTTCCCAGTTGCTTTCATCAGTGCCAAGGCTGTATTTTAAGCTGGAATCAGGGAGGGGGCTGCCAGAGCAGCAGGCTCACAAAAGGAAAAACGTGGGTGAAGAAAGTGTGTGTGTGGGGGGGGCAGTGAGGACTGCTGGGGACAAGCCCACAGAGCTGCTTGCATGGAAGTGGAGGAGCTGCAAGGGAAGTGGGACTAGCTGGGGTGTGCAGGGCTGTGGGTGATGGAGGGGCCATGGGGTGATGGAGGGGGTGGGTGTGATGGAGGGGCTGGGGGTGATGGAGGGGCTGGGGGTGATGGAGGGGATGGTATGGTGATGGGGTGGGTGATGGAGGGGTGGGTGGGGGTGGGGGGAGAGGGGGGTGGAGTGGGGATGGAGGGGGTATGGAGGGTGGGATGGAGGGGTGGGGGTGATGGAGGAGCCATGGATGATGGAGGGGCCATGGGTGATGGAGGAGCTGGGGGTGATGGAGGGGCCATTGGGTGGTGGAGGGGCAGGGGGTGATGGAGGAGCCGGGGGTGGTGGAGGGGCTGGGAATGATGGAGGGTGGTGATGGAGGGGGGTATGGGTGGTGATGGTGGTGGGTATGGAGGGATTGGAGGGGGGCCATGGGTGATGGAGGAGCTGGGGGTGATGGAGGGGCTGGGGGTGATGGAGGAGCCATGGGTGATGGAGGGGCCATGGGTGATGGAGGGGCTGGGTGATGGAGGGGCTATGGGTGATGGAGGGGCTGGAGGTGACAGAGCGGCTGTGGGGTGATGGAGGATCAAGTGATGCTGGCTGTGGCGATAGCGGGCACCATCAGGCAGATGCTGCGGGAGCCTCCGCGCCGCCCGCTGCGCCGTGGCCTACTTCTCGTCTCCATGGCAACGGCCCGTTCCTCGGTGCCGGCAGCCACACAAAGCCCTGGCGCCGGCGGGGACGGTTGGGATAATGGAGCTGGACGAGGAGCCCGGCCCCGGCTCCAGCATCCCACGGGCACCGGGACAGACCCCGGCCGGGCTCAGCCCCGTCCCAGTACCTGCGGCTCCGGCTGCTGCACCTTGTCCTGTGCCTCCATGAGCTCTTTGTCGATCTGTTCCAGCCGGGATGCCCGGATCTGGGGGAAGAGAGGGGGTCAGCGAGGGCTGCGACCCCCCGTAGCCAGGCATGAGGGTGCAATGGGTGCACAAGGGTGGGTGTTGGGGTGCGCAGAGCTTGTGTCAGTGTGCGTGGAGCTGGTGCAAGGCTACAAGGAGCTGCGAGCGGATGCAAAGAGCTGGGTGCGAGGTTGCACCTTAGTGCTGAGCGTGAGGGTGCCCAGGGGTGAGGGTGTTGGGATGGGGCAGCTGCAGCACCCCGGGCACAGCACAGGGGGTGGGTGTGAGGAGGGGAAGGGACGGATCCTGCCCGCCCTGACCTGCGCCCGTTGCACCATCTCATCCGCCGTCCCGAAGCGCTCCTCCATCAGCGAGCGGATGTGCTGAGCCTCGAACTCCAGCTGCTGCCGGATGAGATCCATCTGCATGGAGAACTGGGTGGGGAGGGGGCAAAGATAGGGGATGGGGTGAGGGGGGATGCAGGGCCCTGCCTGTGCCCCCCGGGGGGTGCGGGGACCCCCTGCTCACCGTCTCCACATGGGGCAGCTCCTCCAGACGCGTGGCCAGGCTCTGCAGCTGGGTGTAGTACCAGACCTTCTCCTTCTCCTCCTTCTCAATCTCACCCAGCAGGAAGCACCTGGGGGGGCAACCCTGTCAGTGCAGCCCCCAGCCCCATCCCGGCCCCCTGCATCTCCCCCCATCCCGGCCCTCACCTCTCCCGGTCGAGCTCCTCCAGCATCCGGAAGGTGGCTCTGCCCAGGTCCCCGCTGCTGTCCCGCTGCGGTGCGGGTGGCAATGGGGTGTCCTCGGCGCTGCGCCCGCTTCCAGGCACCTCCGGGGGGAACTTGAGGTTGTAGAGGCTGGTGATGTCCATCTGCAGGGCTGGGGACAGGGGCAGCAGCGTAAGGCCGGGGGGGGCCTGGCTGAGACACCCGCACCCCCATCCTGGGCACGCACCTTTCAGCTGGTCCAGGACCTCCGTTTGTCCCGAGGACACCATGACCCGCGCCTCCTGCTCCAGCTTGCCCTGGAGGTGCTTCAGGACCTCCTAAACCAGAGACAGAGCCATTGGGGCTGTGGGTACCGTGGACGGAGCATCCCTCCCACCCTGTCCCATCCTATGTGCCCTTCTTTCCCTGCACGGGGTCCGTGTCCGCCCTCCCTGGGCTCGTCCTCACCTTCATGTCCGAGGTCTCATTCTCCAGCTTGGAGAGGTGGTTGGAGTTGTCCTCCAGCTCCCGCCGGAGGTGGCTGTTCTCCTTCTTCAGCGCCTCCACTTGCCGCACCAATTGATCGTACGAGGCGATGGAGCCGGACATCTTCAGCGCCTCCACCTCCTGCAGGGCACGGGGGGGGCAACGTGGCAGCACCCCCCGGCACCTCACAGAGCCCCGAGGAAGTGGGGCCCTGACGCCCGCACAGCGCTGGCCTGGCAGGAGCTGGTGCGGGCTCCCCCGGCTCCGAGCCTCCCAAAGGGACAGCCCCAGCACCGGGGGGGGGTGCCCGGCCCCTCACTCCGCCCGCCGGCAGCCCCCTGCCAGTCCCTGCCCCATTCCCAGCTCCGCAGCTCCCCGCTCCCGTCCCCCTTTGTCTCGCTTTTGTCTTCCCTGAACCATCTCCCGCTCCGCGCCCTCCCGCAGCGGAACCAGTCCTGCTCCCCCTCTCGCATCACCCCCAGCCCTCTCCATGCTCCCCCCACCTTGCCCCACTGCAGCCAAACCCGGCTTCCCCCCCCCCAAACCTCCTCCTTGCCGTGCCACACGAGTGGGGGGTGCAAGCGGTGGGGTGCACAGCGGGTCCCCCATTGCACGCCCAGCTCATCCCTCCCCCTGTTCCGCCAGCGCTGGGGCAAGATCGGGCCCGTCCCCCCGTTCCCCCCCCCCCGCAGCTGCCCGGGGCAGCGGCACAGATCGATCCGGTGTCTGCCGCGAACGCCCTGGGATCCCTTTGCAGGGGCTCCAGCACCAGGCAGGGATGGGATCGGAACCAGACAGGGATGGGATCGGCACCAGGCAGGGATGGGATCGGCACCAGACAGGGATGGGATCAGAACCAGGCAGGGATGGGATCAGCACCAGACAGGGATGGGATCGGCACCAGGCAGGGATGGGATCGGCACCAGGCAGGGATGGGATCGGAACCAGACAGGGATGGGATCGGAACCAGACAGGGATGGGATCGGAACCAGACAGGGATGGGATCGGCACCAGGCAGGGATGGGATCGGCACCAGGCAGGGATGGGATCGGAACCAGACAGGGATGGGATCGGCACCAGGCAGGGATGGGATCGGAACCAGACAGGGATGGGATCGGCACCAGGCAGGGATGGGATCGGAACCAGGCAGGGATGGGATCAGAACCAGGCAGGGATGGGATCGGAACCAGACAGGGATGGGATCGGCACCAGGCAGGGATGGGATCAGCACCATCCCAAGCCCCCACCTGTGTCCTTCCCACCCCAGGAGCCATCCCGGCCCCCGCCCCACATTGCTCCCCATCCCTGCGCCCCACACCACATGGGGGGGGTCCCCACACCACATGGGGGGGTCCCCATCCTGCTCCAGTTTGGGTGTATCCCCCCCATCCCCCCTGTCTGGCTCTGACCATGCTGCGCTTCCAGAGGGAGACAAAGACCCCGCAGTGCAAATTCCCCTCCCCAAATCGCTGCCACCCCCGCCCCCCCCCGAATGAAATAACCCCCGGGGGGGTTGGGTGCAGAGGGGGGTGTTGGGGGAACCAGGCTGTGGGAGGTGGCAGAAGGACAGGGGGGTACGGGATGAAGGATGTGGGATTAAGACAATCAAGGCTGCAGATCTGGGATGGAGGATGAACAATGAGGGAGGCAGGAAGGAGGATACCGGCTGCGGGAGGATGGGTGAGGGATGCAGGATGATGCAGGGATGCAGGATTAGGGATGCGGGATGCAGGCTGAGCAGAGCCTCCCATTGCTATGGCGACAGTGATGGGGCAGAGCAGGAGGGTCCATGGCCCTTCCAGAGCACCACCAGATACAGGGCAGGGGGGGTCAGCACTGAGGACACAGCATTGGGAGGATGCAGGGGAACAGCTCCCCCCTTTCCCCCCCCCCAGCACCACCAACCTCTCAGCTCTGTGGTGCCAGCTCTGTTTGCAGGGGCTCAGATGCTGCTGGAGGAGCCTGGGGACCCCGCAGCCCCTCCGCGGGGCGGTGACCGGCCCGTGAGGTCCCCCCAGCTCCGGGGGGTGCTGCCAGCGCTGCCGCAGGGATGGGGCTCCCCCCCCCCCAGCGGCCTTGCTCCAGCTCCTGCCCCTACCGAGGGTCTGGGGGGGGATGAGCGGTGCCTGAGCCCTGGCCCCGCATCCGCCACAGCCGCAGCCACGCCGGGATCTGCAGCCTGCGGGGAGGGGCTGGCGCGGCACCGGCCTTGGCGAAGCGCCTCAGACCCAGCGGGGAGGGCAGGGGCCGGGGATGCTCCCGGAGCTCAGCCTCCGGCACCGTGAGCGGCCCTGTCCCATAGGGCCCAGCGCGGCCCCGCAGGATGCAGGGGGGTCGGTGGTGCGGGGCCGTGTGTGCGTGACTGCACTGGGACCCAGCTCCTCCAACACCCAGCAGTGCCCCTCTCCGCTCAGGGCACCCCTGGACCAGCCAAGGCCCCCAGCAGGGCAGGATTCATCCGGCAAGGCCCCTGCAGGGCGGATGCTGCAGCAGCTCAGTGGGTGCAAGGCAGCATCTGCGGTACCCAGCACAATGCGCTGCCCACAGCTCCCACCACCCCTGCACTGCCCAACGCACTGCAGCAGCCTCCTGCAGCACACTGCCCCAGGGCAGGGATGGGGGAACGACCCCCCCCCCCGTACCCCGTGCTCTCCGCACCAGCCCAGCAGCAGGACTGGGGATGGGGACAGGGACCACGGTCGGCCCCAGCAGCGCAGCATCAGCTGAGCGCAGCCCTCTGACAGAAGCCACATCTGAGCCCCCCATCCGGCTGCGGCTCCCAGAGCCCCCCCCAGGGACGTTAAACAAACACTTGTGTTGTCACCAGCTCCCGCTCATCGACCCGGCCACATGAGGCGGCCCCGGGGACCCCCGACCACAGCAAACTGCCCCCGGGGAGCGCCCTGCACACACAGCCCCATGCACGGCTCCCGGGCGGCGCATGCACACGGTGGGGCACACACAGAGGGATGCTCCCTCCACACATGCAGCATCCGACCCCCTGCAGCACCCACACCCGCACACAGCGGCTGCTCCCACACACATGCGCGCACACACACACGTCTGCTACATGCACACGCATGCACACGCATGCACACGCACGTCACAGCCTTTGGGCATATATGGAGCCGCTGGGGCGAGTGCTGGGGTCCCTGCACCCCCAAAGCAGAGACACCCCCATGCAGGGATTCCTGGGGCCGGCCCCACAGCCCAGCCCATGGGCACGGGAGCCGGAGGGCAGGGACGTTGCCAGCCCGTGCCCAGGGCAGCACCTACCTCACAGCGGCATCCAGGGGGGACTGGGGACACCTCCTTCCCCGGGGGCACGGCACTGGGACCCGCGGGATGCCCCTGCCCTGGGGGGGATTCAGGCGCTGGTTCAGAGCCGGGGATCTTTGAGGGGTTTCAGGTCCGGGGCTCAGCCCCGAGCTCCCGGCCCCGCTATGGGGGGAGCGAGGAGCATCGCAGGGATGGAGGGGGGGAAGCTCCGCGGGGATCCGAGCCCGCATCGGGCCTGGGGGGGAGACGCGGGCCCTGCTGCCCCCCTCGCCCTGCCCGCAGGGTGGGGATGGGGATGGGGATGAAGATGGGGATGAAGATGGGGATGGGGATGGGGACGGTCTCTGCTGCCCCCGGCTCTGGGTGGGGCCCCGGCACTCTCCAGCCTTTGTCCCCGCAGCGGGAGATGCGGGACGCGGGGGGGTAAAGCCGACAGCCCCCCCCCGACCTGCCCGGTGTGCCCGGGATGGAGCCGCTCCCCCCGCAAGGGCAGATCAGCACAGCCAGGGCCGGGGGCACCCTGCACATGGAGCGGGGGGTGATGCAGATCAAAGCCCCCCCCCCCCCGGCCCTGATCCCCCCAACCCGGGGTCCCCCCGCACAGCGCTCCCCGATCCCTGCAGCGGCCGGAGCCGCATCGGAGGATGCGGGAGGTGCGGGGCAGGTGCTGCCGTTACCTCATCCCCGGCGGCGGCGGCGGCGATGCGGAGCTGGGCGAGGCCGCATCCGAGCAGCCGCATCCCGCCCCCGCCCCCCCTCTTTATCCCCCCCCGTCTCTCCCGGTCGGGATTTTCCGCCGTTAGAGGGCGGCAGCCGAAACCCCCCCCCCCGCTTCCGCCCCCCCGTTGCTGGGACCGTGCGGGGGGAACCGGGACCGTGCGGGGCTCCCGGGGGGGCCCCCCCCCCCCCCAGCGCTATCACCGTGTGCGAGCAGGACCCGCAGCCATCAGCTTCCCCCCAGCGGATCGCTGGACACAACCGGGGCCGTTTCCCCCCCCCGCCCTGCTCCTGCCCCCCTGCCTGTGGCCGTGCCCTGCTCCACACACCAGGGCCTCCCATGGGTGCTCCGCTCACACCAAGGACACCGTCACCCACCTCCTGGCCAGCGCGGGCAGGGGAGCTGGGCTGAGGGGACAAACACGGCCTTGTCCCCCCCACCCTCACCAGCAGGACCCGCATGAGGACCATCAAGGTCACAGCACCTGAACAGAAGGGACCTGGTGACAGGAGATCTTCCCTGAAGGACAGCATCACCAGGCAGGAGGAAAGGTCTGGTGGGTGCTTGAAAGACCCGAAGGGTCCCAAGAGACCCCTCAGTGCCACCCCCGAAGTCCCCAGTATGACCCTCGCAGCACCTTGGGCAGATGGGATCACAGCCCAGACCAGCACAGAGCCCTTGTGGGGCAAAGGCCTGTTCCTCGGGTCCTGGTAACACTGGATGAGGCCATCGGTGTGTTTGTCACTATCTCTGGCCACGGTCATCTGCAGCATCATAAGGTTTCCCCAGCCCAGCTTGTGCCAACGCAACACCCACCACAACACCCAAGATGTGCCAGGGCAGGGCGATGGTGTCGGTGCTGACACGGGTGGCAAACTGCAGGACAAGTGTGCTGGGAGCAGTGACAAAAGGGACCCTCCACACAAGTGGCTCCTGCAGAGAACCCCTTGGAAAGTCTCCTCGGAGCTTGGGTCATCACCACACCTCTGGCAGTCACCACCACCTTGGGGTGGCTCTGGAGCCAGACTGGGCCATCCACATCATCCTGAAGAGCAGCTTCTCCCTGGAGCCATGAAGGAAAACCATTCACCCCCTCAGCCTGAGCAGGGAACCAGCAGTTCACCCGCCTGCTCGGAGCAGGCACCAAAACCCTTTGGAATCCCACATTTGAGAGAACAGTTTGGTATCTCAGTGCCCCACAGTGTGTCCTTGGCCCCTTCCATGCAGGGGATGGGCTGGTTCCAAAGCCACAACCAACCACCCACCCCTCAATGTGCCTTACTTTCATGGTCAAGCTCACGCTTCAGGCATGGAGCAGACGCTTCCCAGCATTCCCAGTGTGATTGAAGCATCACCTGGAACGCCACAAGTAACATCCCATAGATGGAAATGCCTCAAAGCAGACAGAAGTGGCACCCATCATAAAGAACAAGGAATTTAACTCATTTACTAAACCCACTTGTGTTTGCTGCATATGCTGACCAAAAGAACAGGTAAATTCTGAGGAGAACATCAAACCATGGCTGCGACGAGGGAGTTTTGGTCCCCCACAGCCCCAGGAACACTGAGACCAGGAGATAAATACTTGGGAGAAACATGTTTTATTTACACATGGAAAAGGCTCCCGCTTCGTTACTTCAGAGGAATGAACCTGGAGGAATGGGTGGCTCCGATACCGGGGCGTCCATGCTTCACCGGCTTGTACGTGATGGAGAACTCCCCCAGGTAGTGACCGATCATTTCGGGCTGGGAGAGAACAGAGACTGGTGTTGGCAACGACCTGAGCTTGAGGCACACACCACAACCCCCCCAGTGCCCCCCTGCAGCAGGCAGGACATGGGCCACTGTGGATGCCAGAGTGGAGCACAGAACATCCAGGGGTTTTCTGTGCTTTCAGGCTGGATTTCATGTCCCTTAATGCTGCTGGCGGTGTCAGGTCACAGCTCCCCATGCGTTATTCCACTCCCAGGAAACCTCTGGGACGGGATCTGTTTCACCCAGTGCCGATGGGAAGGGAGGGAGCAGGCAGCGCATGGCCCCACGCTACCAGCAGACGCGTGCTTAACTCTCACCCCCTTACTCCAAAGCTGCACTGAAGCCTTATGAGGCCTCAAGACGCTCCTGTGAGCAGCCCGCACACAGGGCAGACACTTCTCAGTGTCCTTCCATGCCGGTTTTGCTCCATGCAGGAGCCTCCATGGTGAAAAAACACAGGGAATGCTGAGCTTGGACCGCGACCCAGCCACAAGGGTACTGCAGCACCCCCTCACCTTGATCTCCACCTGGTTGAAGGTCTTGCCGTTGTAAACGCCGACCATGCTGCCCACCATCTCGGGGAGGATGATCATGTCCCGCAAGTGGGTCTTCACCACCTCCGGCTTCTCCATGGGGGGGGCCTCCTTCTTGGCCTTGCGCAGGCGCTTCAGCAGGGAATGCTGCTTGCGGCGCAGGCCCCGGTTGAGGCGCCGGCGCTGCCGGGCGCTGTACAGCTGCATCAGCTGCTCGCTGCAGGGGACGGACACGCTGAACCCGGGAGCCCCCCAACAGAACCGCCCCAACCCCGCAGTCCGAGCACGGGGCCAGGCTCCCCGCCAGCCCCTCTCCGGCAGCGCTTACTAGGACATGTCGAGGAGCTGGTCCAGGTCCACCCCTCTGTAGGTGAATTTACGGAACGTTCGCTTCTTCTTCTGCTCCACCTCCGCCTGCAGCCGGGAGGGAGTGGGCGTCAGGGCCGCGCCGGGCCCTGCTCACTCCCCGCACGCTCCGAGCTCCGCAGGGCCACCGCCAGCCACAGCCCTGGGGAACCCGCCGAGGCCTAGTCCGGCCGGGGCAGCCGCAGCCCCGGCAGAGCCCAGGAGAAGTCAATCCCCCGCCCCATAGGAAAGAGGCCGGGCCGCCCGCGGCAGCAGCGGCGGTGCCAGGCTCGGGGCGGCCGCGGCCGTGGAAGATGGAGCCCGATGGCAGCCGCCGGTACCCCCCCCGCGCTCACCATCTTGGCCGGGTATCCTCGGAAAGGCCGCGGTGCGGCAGGAAGCGGCAGATCTCGCGAGAGCAGCGAAGGGGCGGAAGGGGCGAGAAGCCCCGCCCACAGCAGCTTCCAGCAACGCTTCCGCCCTCATTGCCCTTAAAGGGGCCGCAGCCCGCGGAGTGATGGGGTGCGGTGGGGCGCCCCGCACCATCCCCGTCCCGACCGCACCAGCCTGGAGCCGAGCATCTCCTCCCAGCCCTGCTCAGGCAACACCCGCGGAGCAGCAGCCTTCATTTATGAGCAGCGGACTTTGCTCTGCTGCTGTGTTCCCGCAGAGCCAGGCAGTGTTTCCAGCTCCAGTTGGTTGTGTTTGTCCCTGGGCAGAACTGAGCCTCGGTGCATGTAGCAGTAACCGCCAGGAGCTGGTTCTGTGCAGAAGGGATCCATCTCCAAAACCTTATCCAAGATGAGGTTGAACGGCAGCAAGGTCTTGAGGTCTCCTTCCATTCCACATGTCTGAAGTGCACGATGCCATCTTCCATGGTGTATTTTGGAGAGCAATAAATTACAAACCAAACCTCAGTGAGGAAGTGGTTACAGCACATGTCAGATACACAGAGTATGACAGGCGCAGCCCCTGTTCCAGCACCCTGCTCTTTGTGCTCATGGCAGTGAGTAAGCAAGGAGCAGAGCCAAGAGGACTTAGAGCAAGTGCTGCTGGCACAATCCAGACAAACAAGCAAAAAAAAGCCCAGACAACAGAACTCCCCTTTGGACTGATCAAAGTCTTTCTGACAGTGACTGACCTCCAATGCCATGGATATGTCCCAACACATCCTTGTGGCTATACCTGCAACACAGCGCTGCTGTTGAGTCAGCAGCTCCTTTATCACACTGGGACAGTGTGTCCCCTGGGTTTGACCCTGCGTTTACACAAGACAAGCTCTGGAGCAGCATTCTAGAAGACACAGAAAACACAAACCCACGTTTTACCCGCAGTGCCTTGAAGCATCAAGGTCAGAGGAAGAGCAGCACGAGTGGCCCAGCGCACAGGGGGACAAGCACAGTGACCGGCTGAGATGCGGTGCAAGAGCCCTTCAGCAGCTCAGGTCCACTCCAGGTCAGAGCCAGCAGCAGCTTCAGCCTCTAGGGGCAAATCCAGTGGGGACTTTCTTGATGAAGGCAGAACTGCTGCCTGAGCTCCACTGCCAGCAGTTCAGAGTCCACTGAGGCATAGACTAAGCCTTCACGCTGCTGTTAAGACGTGATTTTTCAAGGCTGCCAATTGATTTCCTCACGAAAACACAAATTCACATGCAACTTTTTTGTCAAAAGAGGAGGAAAAAAAAAATAATAAAATGGAGACAGGCTT